AATGTGCTTTCTCGCTTTCTTTTTTCTACCAAAGTCAAAAATGATTATTAACACAATCAATTTGTTTAATAGTTCTTCATATAATGCCCCAGTCACATTTGATCTACGACAAAACCACGGCGGTCTACGCTTGCATTCGTTCGACTTCACTTCTTAAAAGAGACCTTCGTCTTCGTAGTTTACAACTAGACTCTGCGCGCAGGGTAACTGCGGTCGTAGCTTCCCAAAGTCGAAAGCATAAAAAAGCATATAGAATATAGGGATACGCAGTGATGTAGATTTTCTATATCGATTTTGTGAAGCTACGGCCGCCGTACGCCAGCCGTAGAGTAATTGTGACTGAGCCTTTACTGTTGGAGAAATGAGATTTTTGCTAGATTACCATAATATTCATTTTGTTTGTGTTTTCCAATGCTACCAATCATTCCATTCCCATTGGTATGAACTATGAACTGGTCATGATCGCTATGTAAGAGCTTGGTTATTGGTATTTATGACCCGTATATGTTTTTACAGTAAGGAACGACCGATGGGTATTTGAGACTACAAGTTTTGCTATCAGACGTTATATAGATCTTACTTATTGTAGAATAATGCTATTAGAAGGAAATTAAGAAACAGTAAGTGTCAGAGAAATAACCTTGTCCAATAATAAACCGTTCAAATATATTCAATTATTGCGGAACGGACTTCTAATTAACGTGTCTGATCATTTATATTCAAAATAGGTAGGGCAGTTTTGATCTTCTGCTAATTTATTAATATGCGGTTCTCCATGGCCAAGTGCAACTTATTATTGTTACAATATTTTTTTCTTTGCACCATTATAAGTATTCTGCATGATATGCTAAATTGGTTGACAAAGGTTGCTGAGTTTTTTAACAATTGTTTGTCTTATTCCAAATACAAGTTGTTTTCCCCCTTTTGGCCCTTGTACCTACAAAAACATGATAATTCTTATAATTCTTGGATGACCGAATTGTTAATGTTTTTGTATTCATATCGCTACTGGTCATTAATATTGTTGAATTTAGTATAATTTCCCTATCGTATAAGCGCCGACAAGTTGACAGATATTGTTATCAACCAAAAGGCCCCAAATGCCCCTTAAACCATGACATGATGACACGTAAAGGTATGTTGTAATTATGCACTGAAAACATACCTATCGTCCTCGAGGTCGCCTCTTTATTGTTTAGAAGGCCCAATTACATTTTTAATACCATTTTCGTCAACATTGTGCTTATTGGGTGTCGTGTTAGATCAGTTCATTTTATGCATCGATTTGGGATTTGGATATCATCTAAAGTCGAAGTCGGGGAGGTCTGGATATATGTTATTTTTATAAGCGATGCTAAACCAGTCTCCGACTGATATTCGCAGGCACAAAAAGTATACGTTCAGAACATGTATATTCATATTTTCGTTTTAAACCGTAGACGGTTATCTGATCTTCATTTGTATCTAGGAATGATTGATTTCACAAATACGTTTCGTATCACTGCACATGAAGTCACATGACATTTATTTCCGGTACACATGCGCAATGCTTATGTGCACTTATATACGGCATGAAAGATCATGCCTATTCATAAACGCACTTGGGCTATATACAACATAAGCATTTATATTTCATTTCACATTTCGCGTGCGACCCATAGCCAGCGTCATTTCTGGTTATAATAATTATCAAAATCAATTTCATAATGAGACTTCTCTCCATTTGCCTGTCATCTCAAAAGGATTTGTTGCATTAATCTAAAGTATTTTGTAGCCGATCCCTGAAACCTTGATCTGTAGAAATGTGCAGGATCGATGCAATATCCATGCCCAATGAATCTTTTTTCTTTATTGCCAATTGACTCGCTTTCTGTCTGACTTCAGGGGACCCAGATAGCAGTTTGGTTATTACTTTTAGGCATTTTATTAGAGAGACGACTGATGAGGTCGTTGTTTTCCCCTATACTTCGATAAACCATTCGATTTTTTGTGGAAATATTCAGTGTCTCTGTCAGTACTAATCTTCTGGGGACGGTTTGAATGATTTTTATATATCGTCATTTTGCAAATCTTATGTTTGCAAAACCGTAAGAGACAGAACACCCCCCTAAATAAGTTTACAGCCCCAAAAACCCCAAAGCTCATCAGAATAAGATACATGCTTTAACTTTAAAAAAAGTCTAATACTTTAACTTAAAAAAATCTTCCAAAAATACTCTAAAAGTAAGGACTTGATTTTTCAAATTTAAGTCAGAATTTTCGTTTGTAATTTGGGATAATATTGATACTGTTGATCACCCGATCCATTTATCTTTTGTGCGGGCCTCCCATTGGTTTAATCATAAAGTGAAAGGCGATTGATGTGAAATCATCAAAATCCTAAATTCCGATATGCTGTAATTGAGGAATGTTGATTCGATTTAGGTAGGAGAATAAATTGATAGAGGTAAAGATTTGGTAGATGCGATGAGTATTATTCATTCATCTACACGTTGTGCATAGCCGAATGAAGAATCACGGGTTTCTAAACTTAGTAAAGGGGTGTGTATATCATATTTAAGAGTGATGAGCGTTTGCTTGATAAGAAAGAGCTCTAAATCTATTCCCATTGCATGGTTTCCAAGATTTGTACGTCTGTTTTCTAGTTATGAACATGATATATTGGTAGCCTGTGTAGGTACATTTAGACTACCTCGGGAACTATCAAAATGATGTACTCCTTCTCCTTTAAGTTGACCTTGCATCCAACGCCTCGGATGTTTCCGTTGATTAACCGGGAAACCGGGAAACCTTGAAAACCGTGAAATCTCTCTGCCAATATTTAGCAAACGTTAGCTGAAGAGCTCAGTCTAATTGCAAGATTGAAGCTTAGAACAGATTGCTACAGCTTAGACTAACTAGTCAATTTCTGATGGGGAATATTTTGTTGTTTTAGGTAATGAAATGTATTTATTGGATGCTTAAGCGAGTGATGCAATGAATCATTCTTGTCAGTTGTCGTAAGAAGATCAGTTAACTTTACGTCATCCTTGAATTAGTCATGTGTGTCAAAGTGTGCCATGCCAACATATAATGAATGTATATTAAATGCACATTGATGCTTTTATTTGTTATTACTTTTGTAGTAGTTTTTCATTTCTTTTATGGAAATATTGTCTGCACGATTCGCTAACGTAACCTCGCGAATTTACAATTCAGTTGACCTCAAGTAGATTTGTAAACCCAGAGTTCTGTTGAACAGACTTTTCTGTTTATCCCTTTTTACCAAAGTACAAGTAAATGAAAATGATGAGATTGAAATGTATTTCTCCACTCCATTTTTATTTGTCTACCTTTTGGCGTCACTGACCCATTTCTGTCCAGTTAAAACCAACAAATATTGTTTATCAACTTTGAAAATTTAATTTTTTCGTGTACTTTTACTGGACATATTTTGATTTACATAACTATATAGATATACATAAGGGTGATATGAAAATTGAACTACTAAAACAGATCAATATCTAAGTCAAAGGGAAATTTCTACCATACCCGCCATGTTATCTGACCCGAATGAGACACCTGGTGGTGAAACTGGCAACTATCTACTCGCATCTGAGTTATTGCAATTAGCGACACAATTTTGATAATATCGATTTGCGAAAATTTAATGGTCGAAATATGATAATCTCATTAATCTTCTGTTTTAATAAAGTGTATGTGTCCAAAATTTGCAGCTGTCTGCGGAAACTTTATATCCGCCTACATATTCCATAGGCTGAAAGAAACGTACCATTTTTGGCGATCTATCATGTGAATAATGTTATGAATTATGTCATAGAAATTAGATATATAATGCCCAACAAGAACTGATAAGATCCAAATATGTTTTTAAATTGAGGCAAATGGAAAAGTTGCTCCTTCGATCCGATTCTACCATTTGATTCTAAGCGTCATGTAGCTCTACTCTTTTGTTGATCTATAATGAATCGATTGCTAATGCACTGATCTAGTAATGTAGAAGAATTTAAAGATCTTCGGAGAAAAAGAAAGGTGTATATAGTTTTTAGAAAGACAATAAAATGCAATGCAATACAAAAAGCCAACCATTTTAATAGTGGCGTTCAATCAATCGTATCGATATTTTGCCACATGCCATACGTGAAGTTGACATTTACAGGTTATAAGTTCTTTAACTGCAAAGAGACGCCAGACGACAGAGACGCCACATAATTCTAGAAATCAGTTTGGCATCAAAACTTCTCCACGTTTTCTATTGTTCCTCTACCTCTCCATATGCTAAATGCTTAGTTGCTATCCATTTCTGATTTCATTCTTGCATTGTAAACATTTATAATTGCAGTGCAAAAAGATATCTAACAAAGCGTCTAGACTTTTACTTCTTAATCTGTCTTTTGCAATAAAGAAAGAAATCGGTATGAGGAGCTAGTCTAAATTATATCATTGCTATTGACATTGATTTTCCTTGAAAGCAGGCAATTTATTAGGCTATGGGGCTACCTAAAGGGTTGTTCTTGACATTTTATACTTCATGGTACCAATAATATTCATATCGATAATGGCAATGAATCCTGTTTATGTACTGTTTAATGTCTGTATATATGTGTATACAATTGATGAAATTGTTAATAACAATGTATCACGGTAGCATTAAGCCCCATAAAGTAAGTTACCTTTGATGTATTTTACCTTAGATAAATCATTCAGAAAATTGTCCTTATTGATACAACTGTAAAACTGTGTACATTGAACACCTAAAGAGCATCAAAATGTGTTCACAATGGGTAGGTGTTCATTACGGATTGGGTAATTTATACAGAAGTCAGTACAGTAAACTGCGGAGGAAGGGTGTCCACTAAAGACAGGTGTTTACTAGAAAGGGGTTTTCGCTAAGACAGGTGTTACTGTATATCAATGAAAAGAATAGATATGGACTGTATGATACGTTGGAGGAATTTCTGCAATTTGCGCAAACAATAGTTCCCAATAACATTCCGAGTGGTGGATTACGTGACCTATTCTATATCCTGGATGTCAGAGTCTGGGGATTTGGTGTTGATTAAACTCTCCTTTATTTCTAAGAAGCAAAATCTAACAAATGGAAGAGGTTCTTGACCCATTGAACGGCCACCAATATTGCCAGTCATCAAATATTGTTAAGCGAGCAATCAGTTAGGAATCATCATAAATCAGTAAGAATAAATCAGGTCAGCTGTCAGTTTTCTTTAGTGGCATATTTATCCTCGATATGAAGAAATTGTAACTTCTATTTAAAACTTCTAATCTTGTTGCAACTCTCAATTAGGAATTGGATTAATGAACGAGCATTGGAATCAATAAACAATCTATGTTAAGTGAGCCAGCCAGCATCGAGGATGTGTGAATGTTAGTTAGGTTATCATTACTTTGCCAGCCATCAAACAAGCAAACTGCATTTAAAGATGTTTTTCATAGCTCATAGATGATGTGAGGGCTACTGGATTCTGTTGAGCCTGTTCAGGTCGGGAAATGGAATAAGCATTTCTGCAAACTAGATTCTCGAATTCAAATGGAATGCTTTCAAGGTCAACATTGAATTGCAGTGGCCTTGGAAAGTCACCATCAAACAGCAATGATGAAGGTATATGTAACTGATTTTAGTGAACTCTTTGAATTCAATTTCTATGTTGACTCCTCTGTCTGTATTGCTATCGTTCTCAAACTGAGTTATGTATTTCCAAAAATCGCCTCAAAATTTGATTTAATTTAATTAAAATATAGTTTCAGAGGTCAGTATTGCATTGTTTATTCGAGATCAAGGGAAACTTGTAGAAAGTTCAATGTATAATGACTTTCTGGATGCTTAAGTCAATTCTAAGGCACTTGGACACCAAACTCTCTTTTCCAACAGACCGCGAAGAACATTAAGGCTCTTTTGTCCATGGTGGCAGAGAAAACAAGGCACATTGGTAAACTGTCAAATACAGTCTGGAATTGGAAGATATTTGTATTCAGTGAGTAGGGATAATAAACTCATCCGATTCAGATCGGGGATTAATCAAAATCATTCGAATAGAAGCGTCGCCAATGAGACTCCAGGGAAAGTTTAATTTCTTATCTCCAGTATTATTTTCTATGGAGAGTCAATTGTATTTAACGTGATATGACTATGTACGATATTATCCAATACTTTGCATTCAAACTAAGCTTTAATGATCAATCATTTATCATCTATAGAAATTGAACATTTCAAGCCTGATCCTACCAAGGCAATAAATTATATCCAATTGAAAAATTGGGAATTTCTGAAGATGGTATGTGTCAAATATGGACAATAGTTGTCTGCTGTCAAGGAAATGCTTGATTTTATATTGCGCCATCAAATTATTTTCGAAACTTTGGGACAGCGTATTTCGTGATAATTAAATGCGCAATCATCGAGAAGTAAATAAGTTTGGAAATGCGATCGAGTTGCAGTGACTCTGACGATCGAGGATGTAGATCAAAAACCAGTTTATCACAAGTACGGACTAAAGCTCCACCAATATGTTAGAATTACCGTGCCAAATAAGAATAGCATTATCAAAACAATGGCTTTGAACTTCAACAGAAAGCCAGCTCGGCAAATAAAGCCGCTCTAATGTTATCGAATGAATTACCCTAATAGCGCCTGTGTTTCTCGAACGTATGAAAATGAAGGTCGTAAAGCACAAACTGATCGTTTTCTGATACTGATATCACCTGTTGGAGCATTTATAAATTACATTTTTAATTTTTGATTTCACGCTCTCGGTTCTGGTTTGGAATGGTTGGAATCTTTCAATTACTGCAGATTTTCGTTCAGTAGTTCAGATCAATTTTTCTTGCTGTTCAGTTTAGGATCCATGTGTCACTCATTCACATATGGCTTTAATGTTGCTTGCAACGAAGGCGCAATTGGATTTTGCAATGAATTTCTTATGTCTATTTCTGATATGCCTATTTTTATTATCTCTTCAACAGATACTAGTAACCATGCAGTCGGACGGAAAATGCATCAATTATAGCCGGAGTTAATCCTTATTGGATTTATGATATTCTCCTCTTCTCGCTAATAATAGTAATATAATTGAAGCAAATAACTCTTATATATGGTTCTTTTGATGATTCGTCTACGTCCATATTGTCTTCAGGTTAGATTGTGGAATGCGATATTCGAATTCATTACTCATTCCGACCTTTCATCAGTTTAAGATAAATGTTGTACGTTTGTATGTTTACCAAGAAATGTATATATATATAACTATTTCCATTAGCTGATTAATGAATACATCCTTCGTGTGGCTAATGCTCGTGAGCCTGTCCACGGGAATCTTTGTATTGTGGCCGTATGACATTGTATGCCCAAAAAATATATACTAGTTAAGACAGTGAACGCCAAAACCGCATGGCAAACTTCGGTCTTATACCACATTATCAAAAATTGAACATTGGGATTTTTTCTGAGAATTTCTTCTTTGACCAGTTACATGGTTCACTTGAAACTCTTGAGATTTTCGAACGGATATATGTTTGGATAACAGGTAGGCTTATGCGTTACTAAAGTGTGCATTGACGTTCAAAAATAAATACAAATCAGTGCTATATTAAATGGCAAAAAATTGTTTTCGGTATTTTGTAACAATAAACTTATATTAGGCTTTGCATTGATGTTTTTCTCGTCTTGTGTATTTGTAGGAAAATACTGTAACGGGACGTGGGACACGGTGCTGTGTTGGCCGGCAACTTCGGCGAACACGACCATAAAACAACATTGCCCGCCGCGATATGGACTGGATCCTACAAGTAAGCGTGTTTTAATTTTTTATTTCTTGCTATAATCTTTTAGATTATATTTTGATGGACAAGAGTCAACAAATATTTGGCAAAGCGAATGGTCTAGAATTATACAACTATATAATAAAGCAACTTCATCTATCCAGAGACATATAAAATTTATATGTCTCTGATCTATCTATCCATCCATCTCGTCCATCACATTCAGGATATTAAAGTCTTCAAAGGGAAATCGTCTAATTTTTCATCGTATTTAGCAATGTTAACAGCTTAAATTATATTTCTTGGTTTTGGTCTGACTTATTTCTTAGTAATGTTCTTAGCAAAATATCTGGTTGACTACTCATTCAATCATTTAATTGAAAATATGTTTTGAATCTCTTCGCTGCGTCAGTTGTAAATTGCATCGTACATAGCTTGTAAGCTACAGGGACTAATCCAACGATAATTGACATGCACATTGGGAAATATGTAGCAGAACATCTTTGGAAACCATACTGTTTTTATGTGTTAATTACCACTTTCATATGAAATACCTTGATAGATTTTAAGATGTTTGGAAACAATTTTAGCGGGTTGTGCGAGCAGCTTATTTATCGATGACATGGCAAGATATGATATTTATCTTATTCTTATCTAGTTACTTTTCAAAGCTGACTTACAGAAGTTTAAATCTTTTTTTCTTAAGACCGATGGGATATATGTTATTATCTTTCTTTTAAAGCTTGATTCTAAACTTACTTCTCTTACTTACTAGATTGTTACATACTTTTTTTGTATTCCATTTAAAATTGAAAATGTATCAGGGAAATGTAAAAGGGAGTCAAACGGTTAGGATTTCATCATGGAGTATTTTTCTGAAAGGGTGCATTTATTAGAATAGGATTTATTCCAGATAAGATCAAAGGTACCATCCGGATCAAAAATCAACAGCTACGTTTTTCGTTACATCAACACTTCAACAATTCTAACATTTGAGTCAGAATCTGGCGGTTAAGTATAGGTAGAATAGAACATGGATCGCACCTTCCGATGTAAACATATACAAGTCATATGAAATCTGTACCCGATATCTCACAGCATCATCTGACTTTAACATGTTGGACTATGCCAATTAAAAATTGATAAAAATGACAAAATCCACGGGTAAGAAACGAGGTATTGGGAGTCTGGAGAAAATCTCTCATGTCTTTTAACAATGTTGTGCCTCGCCAATAGATTTCATTTGAGAATCATTTTTATGTCGCCACCAAAAGTGGTGAAATATTGTTTTGGCCTCCAACTTTTTTTGTGACGGCGGTTGGCGTCTGGCGGTCGGCGTCTGTAACAGAAATACTGATTAGACTGACTGCAGTTTTTTTAAATCCTTCACAAGTTCTCAGAAGTTTAACTTTGGCTCAAGATTTGACCTTCTCAAGGTCACGTTGACCATTTTTCAAGATCATCTCCATGTTCTCAGAAGTTCAAATCTGACTTTAGATTTGAGATTTGGCCTTCACCGACCTTCTCAAAGTCAAAAGGTATTTTCAACTTGCTTTAAATTGACCAATTTTTTTTCAAAATCATACAATTTCTCAGAAATTCAAATCTGACTAAGATTTGACATTTCACCTCTAATAACCTTCTTAAAAAGGTATTTTTTCAACTTTTCAAAATCAGGTTCAAGTTCTCAGAAGTTCAAACCTGACTTTAGATATGAGATTTCACTTCCAATGACCTTCTCAAGGTCAAAAAAATATTTTCTCAACTTTCTTCAAACTGAACAATTTTTTTCAAAATCATCAACAAGTTTTCGGAAGTTCAAATCTTGATTTAGATTTGATATTTGACCTCCAATGACATTCTCAAGGTAAAAAAGGTATTTTTCAACTTCTTTTCAAATTGACTGAAGAGTCACTCACTTAGCTGGTTTTGGTAAAGCTTTATAAGTTTACATTGGAGAGAAATATTACACTGGCCTCGTTTTCTCGTCACGACAACAAATTTGTAAAGACAGTGTGAACATTAGCTTAATAGTTAATACGTTCTCATCTCAAAAGGACAAGAAACAAGGAACAATCAATGCGAACATGACCCCCAAGGGAGCAGTAAAGCTACTGTTAATATATCTCACTTTGTTATCTAATAAGTGATGGTATCACTTAGTAAATCTTTATCAGGAGTTTATAGATACCCCTGGGCAAAGTAAATCATCCGTATATCGTATCATTTGCGTGTCTGTCTGCAGGGGCGTAGCTAGCAGCTGTAAGGGGGAGGCTGTGATTTTTATTTGGAGGCCATTTTTGAAATTTCTTTTGATTTTAAAGGTGTGAGTATTTATTATTTGAATAACAATATAATTAAATTTTCATAAAATAGACTAAAAGATTAGTAAAGGAAAATGAAAGAGAACGTCGATTTTGTTTGAAGACTGTATACACACATTATAAATCTACTTTAGTTGCATTATCAATTTATGGTCGACAAAATGCCTCAATTAGCCCACTTGAACTTCATCAAAAAGTTCACGATTTGTTTAATACCACGGTCGTGATAGACTGATGAGACGTGAGATTGTATGGTACAACACGATGGCACAATTACAGAGAACTACTATCCAGTTTATCATTGTATGGAGACATTGTGAAAGATCATAGGCTCTGAAATAGATAAATTACTCCCGATGAAAGCGAATCTTCTTATCAGTCCTGTCTTATCCAGATCATCTTTATTAAAGAATGCTTGGAAAGTCATGAATATCACATAGAGCCTAATGAATGTGGATGACATTTTCACTAATTTCTTTAAAATCACTGTTTTCTATTTAAGGTCCGGGAACATGCTCCAAATCATTGCTCTCCAATCACACTAAAATATCGAACGGCTTATTTATTGACTCGTTCTAGTTTATGGGGGTCAAATGTGGGTACCGTAACGACAGTGCAGAACATTTTCCACACCTACTGCATGCAACAATTTAATCTTTTAATACTCATTATTTATTTACCGATGCTTTCATCATAATTCCAGAGAGCTCTTATTCATAGATTGAAATTCGACTCTCAGGATTTCCACAAGAAGCGATCAGTCAGAAAATTTGTCTGAAATTTTTCTCATTACTCATTTTTAGTACTAGTTAAATAAAACTCGCCTTACACAATTATAAATGGCATACTACAAATACAATATAACACTCACAATTTCCTCATGTACGTAGCTCGTCCATTTTCAAATACCAAACGGGGCCATCGGGGATCTTATAAACGACACAGTGTAACATTAACCTTTCTTTGGCATTACTTCGGGGATCATTGGACAGCTTTGAAAAATATTGTTTTTATTTCAAGCGGTTTCGTGACCGGCTTGGACTTTCCAAAGGTAGCAGTTATAGTGAAGTTTGCGGGTGCATTATCTATATGACATGAAAAGAACTATTTATAGTCCTTGAAAACGCTCAGATTGCACCAAAGATGCCGGGGTTTAGCCCATGCAGGTAATTCCCGCGCCACCTATATTTCTGGAAAACGCATCCCTTTTCAAATATGATCCGACGCCCCTGTAGGCCCAAGGTTGTTACTTATCCTAAAAACCAGTACGAATGCTTTATCTACCTTAAACCCCACAGACTCTTATGAAAGGTAAATGGTCCATGTTCCAATCTGGAATTTTTTTTCTTTTGTATTGACTATGCAAGTAGAGGTAAGGGGTTTGATACATGTACGTGAGTGAGTGGATATAATTAGTTCAGGTAATTCAGTGCTCCGCATGTAACAGGCCAGGTACAGTAGAAATTTGATTTATTTTGTATTTACTATTCAATTATTGAATGAGTGAATATGACCTGTGATTTAGATCAGCTTTGGTGCACTGCATGTGAAAGTCAATCGTCTTTTGTTCAATTCTTTAACAGATAGAAACGCGTCAAAATTTCTATTTTACATTTAAACAATAAAGAAACAATGCACTATTCTTTGTTACAACTGTATATTCGTTAAAATAAAATATAGTTCATTTTAATTGCTACCTTGCTACCGAAACTGCCTTGATATAAGTATGCCCATGTTAGATGTGGCTCTCGTCTCTTCACTTTCTTTGTCTAGCTCACCACCTCTCTTTGCAATTTTGATTAAAACAATTCCTGTTCAACAAATCCCATTGGATCATTCAATTATAGCACACAACAGTAGTAAACGTCAAACGACCTCGAATTATCCACCCTATTTGTTAAATATGCCCTATAAACCATAATAAATCAACCGTACCTTATCATCATTGTCATGTTCAAAAGGACCAATGGCTTTTAGGGAAGTAGGCTTGTCTATTTATAGGTTTTCCCTTGGTATATTTTTTGTCATAAAGATTGTTATGATTTAAATTTTAAAATTTATATCTTCGAAAGCATTATCTTGAGCGATCAATAAATCAAATATTTCAGGATTTTAAATACAGTTTCATTTAGAGACTGATCAGATGACGCAATGGACAACTCTATTCGGGCATTCAATGTCTTGGGTAACAGGGACATAGCGATTGATGGGGAAAGTGCCTGCAATTAACTATTTAAAATAGTTAAGGGGAATTGTGCTGTCGTTTTCTGTTTTTTTATTGCTATAGTTCCTTGCTTAATTAAACATTTCCACGATGTCGATGTACAATAACCGGGAGATAAATGTACTTCTTATGGATGATCTAATTACTTCCGAATTTAAACAGACATTTCAGGTCACAATATTCTTCCGTCTTCTAGTTGCTCTTGAATTTTATCTCCCCATACATGCAATGTTAGTAGATTTGTTATAACATTTATTGTCGAAGGCCAATCGTCATATCACGGGCTTTCAAGAGAGGTTCTCTTAAACGTCCCGCTTACCCTCTCTACTACTGACAACGAAAACAGCATTGGGGACTTTTAAGGGCTAACCTTGACACTGATGTCTATGGAAACAGTAGCTTTACAATGATCAATGATATGTTACACAAAACGAAAACACTCTCAAAATAGATCACATTCTCAAACCTCCGGGCCTCTTGGAACTCCTATTTCATTCTTCCAAAAAGGAAGGGACGTAGTGGATGATGCCTGGAACGCTACCCCTGGAACCCTGCGTTCGGAGGATGTGCATACCCTCTAATACTCTCAATGTGCATTTCAGAGTATGTGTATAAACAATGCGGGCCGACTGGTCAGTGGGAGGGCAGAGTCCCTGGTGACTACAGCAAGCCACAGGGATGGACGAATTACTCAAACTGCTACACACCAGAGGCCTGGAGAATGTACAAGAAATTCTATGGAGATAAATCTCCCGCTCAAAAACAGGTAAATTCAAGCATAGTCTGTCCTTATAATTAACATTTTGTGTATAACCATATGATTTTGACGGATAACGTCTGATCTAATAAATTCCATTTTATTTTGCCGTTTTTTCGTGTTACACCTGTGATTAGTTATAGCCGATAGCCTAGTATTAAATGCTTCGAGCTTTTTTTCTAAATCGGTGAACTGCAATGTAGATGATGCTTCTTGGTGAAAGGTAAAACCAGGTGAAACAAAGTAGATCCTGTATAGTGAAAACCACAGTCAACACATACTCTAACATTAAGGTAGATACTGTTCTGCCACAAAGCAACCCACCGGCCTCGATTCACGCCCCAATAGTGCCAAGATTTAAAGCTTGGTATCTATCTTCATCCCCTGACATCCAGATAAAGTCAATGAATAAATAAATCAGAGACTCTTGCCAGTATATAGCTAAGAAATGTCCAAAAACACTCAAACTACTTTACACACTGTGGCTAGTCGATCTATGTGGATGCAGTCAGGCACATGTAATGTTTCGTGAGTACCCGCCTCTGTACTTTTCAATGGAAGAATTTTGCTCTTCTGTTTAAATAATCTATATTTACTCATCCGTGTATATCATACTTCATTGATTTACAAAACCAAAGCTACGCTATAAACACAAATTCTCTGATATTTTTACGGAGAATAGATAACTCAAACGAGTTCACTCGACCAGTTTTATCATCACGCTCACAGCTGTGAGAAGGCTGTATAATTTGCTATAGGTTTACCTTGTAATGGGGAATAAAAAATTCAAGTAATATAATTATTTCACATATACACAAATATGTCTGTGTGAAGTAAAATACAAATACAATGCGTTCTATAATATTTTTGGGGTTATGGTATGAAATATCCGCTTTAAAAAAGCAATTTAATTTTGATGTATCATGTGGATTAGTAGACGTTCTGATTGGATTCATTGAACAGACAGGCTAGGTTCCAATTGAATCATTTTGAATGTGTGTATTTTTAATATTTTAATCCACAGTGTCAAAAAAACAATAATAATGCTATATTGGTAATCGGAAAGATTCCACTTACCACGATTTCAAAAAATTGTAAATAGATAATATTATTCTTGAATTATGGTCATTTGTTTCAAGGAATCTGGAGGCTCGTTCAGCTGAGCTGACAAAATCATCAAGATTTACGGATGGTCCATCTGTTGGCTGCTCATTGTCACTTTCAAGGAATATTAATGGCTCTGAAACTTGTAGCCTTGCCCAAGTCGGTATTTATTTACTTATCTGATCTTGAATTATTACAACCTTAAACAATCCAATGCATCATCGCTGATATTATGCTAAGTTATTCAGCGGTTCCGAGATTTCCATAATACCTAGGCTACCTAACGGTATCGCAAAACCATATTGATTGACAATATGGACATGGACACAACGTGTGACTTCAGGCTGATTGACTAATCAAAACGTTATCAGGTTGTCCTGCATAAAAAAGCAAACAAACCGTCTAGGACTTGAAATTCAATGATCTGATCGAGTGTTTCTTGAGAGTTACAATATATTATGTTATTAAATGTACATTGGAATATAAGCAGTCATTAATACTCGTCTAAATGAAATCATGCAATTCAATGTTGATTCAAAATCAAAACTGAATTCTCGAAGAAATGCACAAAAACCTAGTCCGGCATTTGTAGGCTCGTCGTTGATTTGTCAAATTTTACCGACAAAAACATTGGGTCGGTAAAGCACGTGGCTTTCTCTTGGGTACAAGGTGGTCATAATAGAAATCAAGATAAGTAAAAGAGACCGACTTGGGCAAGGCTATGAAACTTGATTTGTGGGTATTCCAGTGGGTCGATGGGTCTTTTGCTCTGAATTCACTTCATTGGCGTACCTAATTTCAACATTTTCATTGTCATCATTACATGTTATGGACCCGTTTTTCAAATTAACAGTATAAGCGATAAAACCATAGTTTTTGGCTCACACAGTAAGCCTATGGGATCGACCAGGCGTCCTTCCATTGATCCGTCCGTTGGTCCGTCCGTCTGTCAACATTTGCTGCACAAATTAAAACTGCTATTCGGATTGAGTCATTTCCACATTCATTTTATGCATATCCACAATGTCTATTTGACCTATCATCGCCAGTTCGCTCAGTTTCCGAGAAATTGCTGAATTTTAAATTTCGAGAAAAATCGATCTGATAATAGCCTTATAGAAAGTCAAGAGAAGTGAAGAAAAGATTGAAAAATACCAGTCCAGTCCATTTCCAGGTCCAGGTCCAGGTCCAAGTCAAGGTCCAGTTCAGGTCCAAGTCTTATCAGGTTTTATCTAGGTCAAAGGTCAAGAACTAGGTCAAATCCAGTACTTTGTCATTTTTTCAATTTTCTCACTCGTCCTTCAATATTTTTGCTCCGTTTTTTTAATCATGTTCCTTGGAAAAAAGCTAATCCCTACAGGCAAGTTGTTTTTGATCACTCTTACCGTTTTTGAGATATGGCATCCGAAAAGTAGGTCACAATAAAAACTTCTTGGAATTCAATGTATGAGTCCAAAGAATCCGAATCTGCAAACCAGATTTTGATCCGACTTCCGGTTCGAAAGTTATGGCATTGTGAAATCTCAAAAATCGCTATTTTGGTATCCCATGTTAAGTCAATGGGGCTTGAGAAAATTATCAATTGTAACAACACAACACTAGATACAGCTTGGATGCAGCCAACTTAATAAGAACCTACAATAGAAGCCGTCCTCAAAATCTACTTTCCTTCAAAATTTGGACACTAAAAGGCCTAGGTCAAATTCATAGTTTTTCCTTTGACTACAACAAATCATATCTGAACCAACAACAAAGGACTCATCTTTCATTGATCTCATATTTACCAATACTTTTGTTTGAAAATCAGGATATACATTCCTCTGAAGGTTCTACACTGTGTGAGCAGGACCGTAGGTCCTTTATTTCATCTGTAATGGCATTTTCCAGTTGATGGGTTTATATATAGTATTTCCAATTTTTCATGAGGGTTTTTTTAGACTACTTGTAATGGGGTGGCTAATTACTTTAATGAATAGGGAATATTTATCCGAACAATGTATACAAAGAAAATCTGGCCAGTTGTCCATCAGTAAATAAATCATCATGATAAAAGTGTAATTTATTAAAGCATCCATTTGTTACCGTTCTGAATCCAAATGATACATAGGTGCATCCATTTTATACATATATGTTGACGTTTACGAAATGTTTTTCAAATATCTTCTCTATAACAGGAATATGGTAGCTGAAACTTTCACACATTGTCATACTATGTATATTGAATATGTATGCAAGATTTCAAGTCACAATGTTAAGTAGAAACTCTGAGATCACTTACCTCGATTTGCTGTCATATTTTTGCAATGATCCCATTCCCTATAATGTACGCGAGTACCCACGATACATTGCATATAAATGACTGCATCCACATAGATCGACTAGCCACAGTGTTACAACTGCAGAGGATGCTAACGAATAGGAGCATTAAACGTACATGGATATGGATATCGGGAAAAAATTCGTCATCCTACTTAGTATATTAAACCATTGTTCTGAATACTAAATAAACGTTCATGATCAGATTAGTTAAAAACGGCTTTTCAGAATCAGATAAGGGTCAACTGTTGAAATTCGGAAGCTTCCAAAAGCAAGTGACGGGGAAAATTCCTCATCACGTTCTTCTCGATCTGTTGATTTAATTTGATCATTTGCGTCGGTTCAATACTCACTGGTACTGCACTCTTCAAAATAGTTATTGAAACAGTCCATTTCGCTACATTCGAAGTTACGATTTTTCTTTTTTAAGCTGTAAGCAGAATTTTCGCGAAATTTTTTTTCGTCTTCATCTTTTGAACAAATTGTTCGCAAACGTGTAGATTTTCTTAAACGATGACACTGACACACGTTTGCGATAAAAATGTCATGGAAATTCTTCCTGCAACTCGTGAGAATAAGGAAAACAGAAAAACCATAACTTCGAGGTTCCGACATTTTGTTGCCAAAGCGGACCGTTTCGGAAGAGTGCCGTACTAGTGAATGCTGTCAGCGCCGTCGTTTTCATGCCCTCTTAGTATTTTCAAAACTCTTTTCCAGATGCTTCGTGATATTGCTTACGGTGCCCGAGTCATGGAAATTGCTGGACTTTGTCTTTCCCTGCTCGCTATAGCGATATCTTTATTTATATTTTTCTACTTTAGGTAAGTAATCTCAAAGTTAGGGTAATCCATAAGTTTCCCATCCAGACTGACAATAACCTAGATTTTGCCACTATTGGACTTGATCATCCTTTATTAACATAGGATATGTAATTGCATAAAAATGACCTGATTAATTAAACTAATTGATATGGCGCTACATAATCAATGATATGTTAATGCGTGACGTTTTGCAGGCTGGTGGTTCATCCATATTACCTGATTTATTCAAATTGTATTTGCAGAAGTTTAAAAAATGCACGGACCCGAATTCATCGTAATTTATTTTTGGCTATTTTGATCCACATTATCATAAGCCTTTTTGAAGCCTTGGATTGGTTCATATCTACAACGTCACACCCGCGAAGCTATTTGATTGGCCAAGGTGGAGAGATCTTTCAAACTGTAAGTATTATCTGAAATGTGATTTGTTAAAAATAAAATATGACCGAAAACTGATCCTTTAGGATCAATCATATATTTGTTTAATTCAGAATTAAGTCACCCAACGATAAAACAATACCAAATGTCAGCAACAGTTGGCCAGTCATTTTAGATTAAAAATAGTTAAGCAAAATTGCTGTGTAAGTATGTAAAATAAGAATGATGGAATTTAATTTTTGCGTCATTAGACTCACCTTTCGAAAGGGTACAATTAGTACCCAAGGAGGATTGGCTCCCAGAATCGAAGTCGATATTTTCCAACAATGAAAACGCCGAGATGTCGTTATTTTCTGAAATTTTAACCGATTATAAATTCAAAATAAACAGTTCAAAAGATTCGAACCAATATCTCGATCATTTCCTGTGAGTTTTGGAATTTTTCGTTAGGAAATAAGACCAAAATTCACGATTCAAATGTTGAAGTGAACAAAATGGCGGCTGTTGGAATTCAAATTTTGTAGCACGACATGCCCATATATGGGACAGAATATCGATGTTGCACTCTGGGAGCCAATCCTCCTTGATTAGTACCGTTGCAGCAAATTCTGATTTGGACCACCTAATGCCTTTAAGCTTAACAAAATTTATTTTCTCTTCTTGCAGGCGATTCTATGCGAGATCTTAGTGTCTATAAAGGAGTATACGAAGACAGTTATGTTTATGTGGATGTTGATAGAAGGGATACAGCTCCACAATATGATTGCAATCTCTGTATTCTCTAATAAACCAAACTATAAACTATTTTACGCATTGGGCTGGCGTAAGTATATATAGTGTTATATTGATGATAACAAAAATGTTTGAAATAATTCCTCTATAAACACTGCTACCCACCTAGTTACACAGACGTATCGTCAGTGTATCATGGCGGAACTACTTCCGGGACTAGGTTTCGGTAAGATTTTTTTTATTTCCCGATTTACACCTACTTATAAGTCACGTTGTGGATAACTCGAAGTTAAGGAAGATAGTCTAGTTTGAGAATGTGTCGATGGTTTTAGGGTTTTTATGTTAATGAAGACACAATTCACGTATTTAGTCCCTCGCTTTTGTTACACTGACGAACGACCGATATCAGTGTAATATTGGCAATATTAATGCCGATCGTCAGTGTAACAAAAGCGAGGGACTAAATATGTGAAATGCGTCTTCGTTAACATACCAAACCTAAAACCATCGACACATTCTCAAACTAGACTATCTCCCATAACTTAGAGCCAAATTATAATCCACATCGTGACTTATAAGTAGATGTAAATCGAGAAATAAAAATATCTTACCAAATTCAAATCCTGGAAGTAGTTCAGCCATGATACACTGACGATACGTCTGTGTAACTAGGTGGGTAGCAGTGATAAACGTATGTTCACTATATCTAGTTAAAGTTGAAAAGATGACTGAGTTAAATTTGAAAAATTGACCGAGTCAGTCAATTTTTCAACTTTAACTAGCTTTATAGAAAGCACATGCAATGAAACAACATATAAGAAATAAAACAATTAATATGAATATGAATGGAACATCTCACAATGAATAAAATGTATATGTATTTCATATGTACATAATATATAATAAGATAGTATAATGAATAATATGTCCTTGTGTGTTTCAGTTTTCCCTGCTTTGCCAACTCTAGTTTGGTCCATATTAAATGCTTGTACATATGCTCGAAAGTAAGTGTAAAATTTCACCTTTCTTTGAGTTTATCTTGAATGTTAGTATGTAAGCACAAGTGGCAACATAAGAGAACTCGAAACAATGCCTATACGCATAATATGCGATCGTATTACACAGGACAATAGAGTACTGACTGAGGGTTTTCATTCTTCATAGGACGTGTTATATTAGTCTTGCTTCAAGACTTTGGACCTCCTCTCCTTATCTACTTCTTTAGCACAGCCTGGTGTTAAAGTGTCTTTCAAATACAGATGGAATATGTTTTTACTCTTTATTTTTTTTTCATTTTGACCCACAATATTTCTTAAATAAATTTTATATATGGCACTTAAACCATATTTAGTATTTCCAAGGTTTTTAATATTTAGATGAAATCATTGAAAGTCACTTTAAGTAGATAATTGGTGGGGTCCAGGGTCTTAAAGCAAGACTAAGGACGTGTATGGAAAGCTCTCAATTATATAGTAATACTCTCTAAAACACTAGATTATACTAATTGTAAATCACTTGGCTTTGCTTAGAAGAAAATCTAATATTTATAAACGTTTGATTAATTTGTTTAGGTGCTGGTCATTATATCATTTCATCAAGAGTTATTGGATTATTGAAGCCCCACGAGCAATTGTAATATCAGTGAGTATTGTTATTTATACTTATCATTAACCGCTCATAAAGAGACTAATGTTTTAATAGAACTAGTTTATTGTGTAAATAGATTTTGATTACGATGCTAGTAAGAGGGTGATATTGATTTGTGTGCTTTTTGTACTACTTGATTCCAGAATCAATATCTACTTGCTAGTGCTAGCTTCCAAGTGACTAGGTTCATTCTTTAAAATCCATGATGATATGTTCGTGCAACGTCAGTTTCCTAGTACTGCTAGTTCAATTTTCTAGTACGGCTGGTTCAGTGTCCATTTGATGCTAGTTCATTGTCCTACTGCTGCTTTTTCATTATTCTATTACTGCTAGTTCAGTGTTCTGGCACTGCTGGTTCATTGTTCTAGTACTGCTAGCTGATTTTCATAATACTGTTAGTTTATTGTCCTAGCACTTCTAGCTCATCGTCCTGTTTGTGCTAGTTCATTGACCTACTAATGCTAGTTCATTTTCCTGGCATTGCGAGCTCATTGTGCTAGATCACATCCCATGAATGTATTACGTCTAGATAGCATTTTACATTTTATATTCCCTGCTGCCACGTTAAGTTAGGGGTGTTACTGCTGGTTCATTTCGTCTAGTTCTGCTTGTTGATTTTCTTAGATATGCTACTTTATTGTCCCAAGAACTGCTAGTTATTGTCATAATAATGCTAGTCCAATAGTTGTCGATTATTTCATTATTGGTAAGACTTCTTTTAACCTAAAGAACAACAAATATTTAATGGGGCAAATACATGATCGCAATACTGCAATAGAATCGTGAAAAATTGACACATATTTCATCGCTTTGCTATCTGATTTTCAGCTCAATCTCATATTCCTTCTCAACATCATTCGAGTGCTTGTCACAAAGATGCGAGATAGCAACTCTTCAGAGGCGTTACAGGCCAGGTAAGTAACAGCGAACTCAAATATTTGACATAAAATTGCACAAAGGGAAACACTAGAAAATCAAATACTGTATATAAACCTCTATTAGATATGAAAATTGTCACTGGGGGTAGACGGAATCTATGGATGGTTGATTGGTAAATTGGTTTAGGTAAGATTATTTGATACCACAGTACTATCCTTTGGTAAGTGACTGATGTCAAGACGTGACATCAAACCATGATGATAAACATGTATTTGTTCAAGACAGTCAAGTTCTCGAAAATAAAATTTAGTCACGATTCGTGAACTGCAAACGTCTTTTATTGTTAAAGACAGCTGAATTTCAGGCTTGTGATCTACGAGACACAACCCCATGGTTGTGTAAATGATGAACGTCCATAGTTTCATGGATAACGTCAATTAGCTCTAGGTCTTAATTGTTTTGTGAGTAAAGGTGTTCTGACTTTTGAGTGTGTTCTTGCAGCATTGAGCCATTGATAGTCCCCGATCTGATTTCCAAAAGGGCTCTAGAAAAGGGGTTTTGTTGTCCGGTACTTTCCCACATAAAATGATTGTACCGTTTGAAAGAACAGACTTCCCTCTTAAAGAAAACACCTCTTCTATTGATGTAAACAGGGGCAAAAGGCACCAAAACGGGGTTAGACAAGGTGGCATTCTGAAGTCTCACTTTCTTGTCATCACGATTCCAGGTAAACCATTAGACGGATTTACTTCAAATTTTCACACATGTTGCATGGTAAGAAGTTCTAGAGCTGATTAACTTTGCGGCGGCCATCTTGCATTCTGGCGGCCATCTTGGAATTTTTTCAGATAAATATTGTCATCGCGATTCCACAAAAACCACATAACAGATGTACTTCAAATGTTCACACATGTAACATGGTAAAAAGTTCTAGACCTCATTATTTTTTCGGTGGCCATCTTGCATTCTGGCAGCCATCTTGGAAGTTTAAAGATAAATCTAGACATCACGATTTCAGGAAAACCAAACGGATTTACTTCAAATTTTCACACATATTACATGGTAAGAAGTTCTAGAGCTAATCAACCTTTCGGTGGCCATCTTGCATTCTGGCGGCCATCTTGGAAGTTTTTTATGATAAATCTTGTCATTGTGATTCCAGGAAAACCACTTTACTGATTTTCTTGAAACTTTTACACATGTTACAAGGAAGGTTACATGCTACCTTTTATATTGATATAAACAGGGGCAAAGGGCAGTAAAGTGGGGTTACACAAGGTGGTATTCTAAGGAGAATGTTATCTATTTTTCTGTATTTTAAACCACATAATTTGACATAAATGCATATTTGGTGTATGATATCATGTTTTATATCGATAGAAACATGGGCAAAAGGCGTTACAATGGGGTAACACATGGTGATATTCTAAAATACATATTTTTACTCTGCTTCTGTACTTTATACCACTTAAATGCATTTTGTGTATGACATCGATTGATTTTTAGAATAAATAACTACATTTCATCAAAAAGAAAAAAGATTATTGAAAACGTCAAACATTTCTTTGAAATCCATTATTGCACAGCGATTTTTGAGATTGAAATGTATGCTAAATTGGCCTTGATCTGAGTATATAACGGAATTAAAGCTCTTTTAAAAAAAAAATTTGATTCAAATAGTGATAATTTATTTACAAATATAATTTCAAGTGATAATACCATCATACAACGACATCTTGGTAAATTTATATATCACTCATTTAACAATTTAGAATAGTCAGCATATTTTGTACATCACACTTAAAAATATTCTGCCTCTCTTGTATGCTTTCAATATGCATATGGAATTTTTGTACATTACTTTGTAAATGTAGAAGTAGTTTTAGTTAGTCTTAGTGAGTAGTTGTGACTAATGTAATCATGTAATGATACAATATGTCATTAAAAGTTATATATAAACTAAAATGTAAATGTGTGGAAAACCTTTCACTGTGCATCATGTCAACGAAATGTTCTTCATGCAGTTGAATTATCTTCTGGACAGGTGATCACACAGAAGGAGAGACCTGCGTATCATATCCTTACTAAATATAAACAAAAATGACAAATGAGAAAGGAAAAAAGTGTAAAGCAACCTAGTGGGAAAAGCAAACTGTAAAGTGTAAAACTGGCAAACAAAAATCAAACCTGAATATCCCAAGACAATAATCTAATATGGGAATAAACAGCATCCACACCGTTCAATGACCAATTCCTCATCAACGACCACAACTCCGAGGGACATTCCATTCATACTGAAGTCATTAAAATACATGTGGAAGAAAAATTGAAAATAATGATATCCAATACTCATACGATCAAAAATAGTTGTAGATACTATAGTACTCATAAAAGCTGCAGATAACGTTTCTTCATCGGGAAAGCAAGCTGTCTCTTAGTCAGATATTAACTAACGAGCTGGTTCAGAGCACCAGCATGTCAAACTATGTGAATGGGCTCTGTATCCACAATGTTGCGAGTTCGAGACACATGTGCTTTGCGTTTAATAATCAACAAAAATCACTTAAACCTGCACTAAAACTGTGTGTCAGATCGATATAAGTATAGGGTTTGGAAACTAATTGTACCAACAAAAAGAACTTAAAAAACACTGCTACAATATCAACATAAGCTTTCAATAGTAGTGACGATGCAGAAACATGCAAAATGTCACCACACCTTGTTAAGTATACAGTACACATTAACTACTGAACAGTGTCAAGATAAACGTTCGAAGCTATTACAATATGTCACCCAATCACTAGTGGTGGTGACATAAAAATAATGTATAGAAAAATCTACTGAACCAAAATAAACTATGTGATAGAAGAACTGATTGTTTATTCATGTTATATAAAATCAAATAAATATTTTTTTTTCGTTGTGTTAGTTACACCAGTAATAATAAACCTGTTTATAAAGTGGTGTTAACTAAACTATAAAATTTAACAGTCATAAAACCTAAAAAAATATACCAGGAAGGGACCATTGTAAATGTATAAAGTGTGAAAATTTGAAGCAAATCTGTAAAGTTTTTTTCTGGAATCGTGATGACAAGATTTATCTACAAACTTCCAAGATGGCCGCCAGAATGCAAGATGGCTATCGGAAAGTTAATCAGCTCTATAACTTCTTACCATGTAACATGTGTGAAAATTTGAAGTAAAACTGTTACGTGGTTTTCATGGAATCGTGATGACAAGATTTATCTAAAAACTTCCAAGATGGCCGACGGAATGCAACATGGCCACCGAAAAGTTAGTCAGCTCTAGAACTTCATACCATGTAACACGTGTGAAAATTCGAAGTAAAACTGTGAAGTGGTTTTTCTGGAATCGTGATTACAAGATTTATTTATAAACCTTCCAAAATGGCTGCCAGAATGCAAGATGGCCACTGAAAAGTTAATCAGCTCTAGAACTTCATACCATGTAACATGTGTGAAAATTTAAAGTTAATCTGTTAGGTTGTTTTCCTGGAATCACGATGACAATATTTATCTAAAAAAAATTCCAAGATGGCCGCCAGAATGCAAGATGGCCGCCGCAAAGTTAATCAGCTCTAGAACTTCTTACCATGTAACATGTGTGAAAATTTGAAGTAAATCCGTCTAATGGTTTACCTGGAATCGTGATGACAAGAAAGTGAGACTTCAGAATGCCACCTTGTCTAACCCCGTTTTGGTGCCTTTTGCCCCTGTTTACATCAATAGAAGAGGTGTCTTCTTTAAGAGGGAAGTCTGTTCTTTCAAACGGTACAATCATTTTATGTGGGAAAGTACCGGACAACAAAACTTTTTTTCAGAGGGTCCAGATCAGGGACTATGACTGATTGTGTGTAAAATAACATTATAAAAGGCATGCAAGTCGTCAATTGAATGCTTATCCATATTATATGGAAGCAGTTATTGCGCATAACTAGAGGTTTGTCTCAGAACAAGATTCCACAAAGATTTAGAACTGTAATTAAAACTGCTATAAAATAGTAATGGGCAAGTAAGAGCTGATAAATGCTACTAAAAAGGACTTAGGATAATAATTATAATCAACTGTGATGCATTCAAACACAATTCAATTAGTGGGCAGCTTCGAAATACCTGCTTTGATAAACTGAAATTCTTGGCACAACTTAAAGAGGTGCATTTCATAAAAATTTCATGAGTTTCTTAAAGGATATAAAACATTAATCGCTCCATAATAGACTTCTTACACAAGCGATCTTGTGGGGATCATATTGCCTTAATACTATACTAGGATTATGAAATACTTTGGTGAACGTAGTTAGAATGATATCGCAATTATTTTCCTTTCTATTTTACATGAGGTGCTTGTGACATGATTAAAACGCCATTCATCTTTTCTTGTTTCAAGGTTTGCCAAGTTGTCAATTTACTATCCTAGTTTTTAATAACATTTTCGTGAATGGATGTTTTGATATCATAGACCGTTTTCTTGCATCTTCAGTGATTAGAATGTGCCAGACACATACCAGCCTTGATTCAAGCTTTACTTTTGAAAATAGATTGCCTTTTCAGATTGGCAACTCAGTATGGGGGTAGGGGTGTTCGATATTGTTTCATTATGCATAGAACCAACGTTTTAGGGTTTTGGAATATTCTTCCCTTTTTTGACTATTGCCCTTGTACAATGTATATTATGTACAGTGTATTTAGATATTTTAACATTTCATGTTTTTAAATAATAGTGTAGTCTCACAGGTATCGATTATTGACTATCCTTTTCCTTTGAATATACATTTAGATTTTAAGATTTTATGATATAACTAGTATTTCAAATATGTATTTTATATGTTAATATAAATTATCTGAATCGAATAATAACAATTAGCATGGGCATTCAAGTCTAGTTATATTATAACAATTAGCAAGTAATTTGTTAAATAGCTAATGACATCGAAAAAAGTAAGTGTGATTGACGTCAAATATACATAACATATTGTATAAATCCAATGTTCTAGGACTGCCAGGTTCATTGAAAATTGTTCTAGTACTGCAAGTTCATTATTCTAGTACGACTAGTTCATTATTCTAGTACGACTAGTTCATTGTTCTAGAACGACTAGTTCATTGTTCTAGAACTGCTTACACTATGCTCATTTTACATAAGTTGTAACGGCTTATGCAACTTTGCAATGCATTCCACATACGGAAACATTTTATTAACAAATGCTTATTTTTCAGAAAAGCGGTGAAAGCAGCCATTGTTCTACTGCCATTGCTTGGTATCACGAACTTCGTTGTAATGATAGAGATTCAACATACGGACCTGGTGAATTTTGCAATCTGGGTGACCATTTCTCACTTTCTGACGTCATTCCAGGGTTTCTTCATATCCCTGCTCTATTGTTTTCTTAATGGAGAGGTTTGTAATTAAAGTGAACTATTGTGTATTAAATAACTGTAACCCCTATGCTCTAGAAAAGTGACTCATCAATGCTTAGTTATCCTATACACCTTACTGGTATGTACTATGTAATGGTTTACAAAAGATTAATAATAACAATATTTTTATTTGCAAAGAGGTATGCAAAACTGACATTCAAAAATGTCCAGTTTAAATGACTGTAAAATGTTTTGTTTTTCTCATTTCGGATTGTGTTATTTCTAGTAAATGAAATAATTGTATAAATGTTGAACCTCCATAAATGAAATATCTTTCGCTTGGTTTCAAAGGTAAAAATGGTTATCAAACGACATTGGAGAAACTACCTTAATCACAGACATCACCTTGACAGTAGGAAAAGCAGTAAAACATATTCCGCTGGTTTTACATCAGTGACGGAAGTAGTTCCAGCAGAAACAAAGGTAAACACTGCTTTTTGTGTACACCCCTTTCATAAAAGTTTAATATGGAAACCCTTGTTTAGCATTACCATGATGTTTTAAAGTCTATAATTCCACAACCAACAGACCCATTTTATTCCTGAATTTGATCTTAACCTAGAAAATGATACACATCCCATGTTCACACGTAGATAATATATAAATTGTTAGTGTAGCGTAGCCCTATCCCACCTCCTTGACTGGATATTGCGAATGGCATATACATGTACAAATCCAGAAAGTAAATATGCACATCCAATGTCAAGTTTTAGTTTGATTACAATTGATTTGGTGGATTTTTATTCTAGTTTATGATATATGGCTTTTGTAAACCTGTAGATCATAAAATACACTGATCAGCGGTAACCACGGTAATCAAATGCGAAAAGTATGTCGTTGGTAAACCAAATGTGAAAAATTTCCTGGTAAACTGGGCTAATCTAAATTTGAATTCCTGGTAAACCGTGTGTTAGTCAGATGCTTTGTAAACCAAATGCGAAAGATTCCTTTCTGAACCGAGTGTTATATAGACAGATGCTTGGTAAACCAAATACGAAAGATCCCTTTGTGAACCGAGTGTTAAATAGACAGATGCTTGGTAAACCAAATGCGAAAGATTCCTTTGTGAACCGAGTGTTATATAGACAGATGCTTGGTAAACCAAATGCGAAAGGTTCCTTTGTGAACCGAGTGTTATATAGACAGATGCTTGGTAAACCAAATGCGAAAGATTCCTTTGTGAACCAAGTGTTATATAGACAGATGCTTGGTGAACCAAATGCGAAAGATTCCATTGTGAACCGAGTGTTATATAGACAGATGCTTGGTAAACCAAATGCGAAAGGTTCCTTTGTGAACCGAGTGTTATATAGACAGATGCTTGGTAAACCAAATGCGAAAGGTTCCTTTGTGAACCGAGTGTTATATAGACAGATGCTTGGTAAACCAAATGCGAAAGGTTCCTTTGTGAACCGAGTGTTATATAGACAGATGCTTGGTAAACCAAATGCGAAAGGTTCCTTTGTGAACCGAGTGTTAAATAGACAGATGCTTGGTAAACCAAATGCGAAAGGTTCCTTTGTGAACCGAGTGTTATATAGACAGATGCTTGGTAAACCAAATGCGAAAGGTTCCTTTGTGAACCGAGTGTTATATAGACAGATGCTTGGTAAACCAAATGCGAAAGATTCCTTTGTGAACCGAGTGTTACATAGAAAGATGCTTGCTAAACCAAAAGCGAAAGGTTCCTTTGTGAACCGAGTGTTATATAGACAGATGCTTGGTAAACCAAATGCGCAAGTTTCCCTGGTTAACCAAGTGAATCTAACTAAATGTGAAAAGGGCGATTTTCGGTTTCAAGAACCAAATTCATTTACATATTTCGACGTTATCAATGTCGCCAAATATTTTCATATTTTTACGAATTGTAGATTTAAATGTCCTCTTTTGTATACTTCAGTTTTAATGATGGTTATTATTTTAATTTTTTCATTAAAGAATATTAGCGAACCCCCTACGTCGCTTTCAAAAATAAAGTTTGATAAATTTAGAGCAAGTTGGAATCAGTTCTGATGTATTTTCTCAAAATATGCCCGGCAGAAACAATTCACCCAGTTAAAGGACGTCGACGATGTAACTTCCAATTGTCATAAAAATGGTTAAAACGAATCAATATTTGCACGTCGGGGAATTTTTGGAAGAAGAAAATAATTTCCCCGGGGTATATTTTTCCGGTATGAACTTAGCAGTTATAAGTGTCACCGTGCTTACTGCTGATCGTGTCCGGTAGAAATTGAGAAATATTGTATTAATTTTAATGTGAATTAAATTATTTTGTTGTGCATGATTCTGGATTTTTCTGATTTCATATATTATGAAAACACAAGCTGAGGCTTTACCAAATTATTTCACTTAATAATACTGTTGTCTGCTATGTACACCCCACGCAAAAAGTATGGCAACAACAACTCTCCTATTGGGCCCAGTGTTAAACTAATGTATTTTTGGATGTTTTTATAAAAATCCTTAGATTTGTCATAAATTACAATATCCAACATAAGAGCATTAAACAGGCTATCCAATATTGAGAGGATTGCCAATTTTTTGAAGTGCGGTGTAAAATAATTGTATGCTGTTTATCAATCACCTGTTGTCCTTGTTGAGGTTGGAGGATTCTGCTGGTTAAACATTTCATTTTCTGGCCTAAAACGAGAATACTACAGTTTTGATATCTAACGATGCAGTTGGTCTGTTTCACTGATAACCGGCCAAATGTTATCATGAGACTATTTTCAATGTCGAGATTGTGAAGTTTTGCTTATTACAAATCAAGTCTCTTGGGTATCGTAAATTTGGTGAGCGGTTCGCTTTGAAATGTGGAAATCTGGCCTTAACAATGGACAGGTTTTAAGCAGTGTATATTGAAGTATACTATCGTTAAACTGGTATTACGTTGAATTTTGGTTTAGAACTCACGAGCAGAGTATACGACAAAATAAGTAGTTATGAGTTATGTTTGTAACAGAAGATTTCAGTCGATTTAGACCTTAGCTCTAATCTAAAATTACCAGTTTATCGAGAGTGGTGTGGTTATTGGCATGTCTCTATGTTCAATGTTACCGCTTGTAGTTCTTCTTTAACTCGTGCTGTGTACCCGACGGGAGAGGGAGGTCACAGAAACGCGACGGGAATGGGAACACTCCAGATACAAGTGGCACAGAAGTGAAACACCTAGAAGAACGCGACAAACTGGTAGAAAACCAAGCAGACACAGCTTTATAAAATACTTATACTGTCAGCATTCGCTGTAACTTAGACCTTCATTTGTTAATAATATATTATTAGCTCGCTGCTCATACGTGCTCATTTATAAATGTAAATTTTAAAGATAGAGTAGGAACATGAATGCTTAGATTATTTCTTATGTGCCAACGTACGTTGAATGTAATTATTTATTCAGATTTATTTTATGAAGACGATTCAAGTAAATATGTAAAATAGTGTAAATTCAGTTAAAAAATCAGTTTAAATATCTGTAGTGTTCCACTGCATGGTTGTATCCCTAGATTTGATATATTTTGCTTTAAATTATTATTCTATTATTTATTCTATGGTGAGATGGGAATTTCTAATCAGTCTTTAATTGATATGATTCTTAGTTAATATTATCAACTTATCAACGAAAGCAATGTTTCATAATAATGTTGAAAATCATATTTTCATCTTGCAAAATCTGACAAAATCCATCCACCAGACGCAGGGATTTAAGATTTAGTATGAAGTAGATAGCTTTACCGAATTGATAAAAGGAAATCAAATTGTCGTTGAGTGAGTTCCACAACCCTGCGTTCTTGGTGAATGGCAAAGTAGATTTAGTGAGAATATAAAAATGAACACTGTTTAAAGATCATATCCACATATTTCTGTGTCCAGAATGCCAAAAAGAAAAGAAGGTTCAGACGTAAGAAAAAACGAAAGGAGCCAAAGGAGATACTTGATAAGGTACAACTGACGTCTAAAAGTGTGCGAATGACTCAATGTAAAACTCCGAAGAGTCAACCCGATGAATCTACGTTCGGGAATCCAATGGAATATATTACTAATGGCGTGACGCCAGTTTCTCATCATGTGAACAACAGATCTACTGTGGAGTACATCCCGCCGAAGAAAGGTGAATCGGACTAGAAGTTGAGAACATTACAGTTAGTAGTTGTGTATGAATAGTTGTGAACGAACGACAGTGGAGCGGCGAATTTACAGTCTATTTTCTCAACATTTTTGTTAATTCTTTATAATGACATCTATTACATTGGATGTGAAGGTACAAAATATATAACAGCATGTTTTATAGAGGGCAGTGTGCTTCGATCCAATATTATTAAGCATTATATTTGAATCCACAATGGCAAGAGTTGCGCGATTCAAGTTTCTATGAGAGTTAGACTATAAAGTAGCGAACTTGTTCATTGTGGTATCATGTAGATCTTAAACTTGCCAAGATTGTAATTACAGCATTGAAATATTTAAATGTATGTGGTTATTTTTCTAATGTTGTTGTACAAATTTTGTCGATGATCAATTTATTCTATGCTTATACGCTCTCTTCCATATGTTTGGAACACCTATTTCTCACACTGTCTTTGGTTTTTTATCTGCGAAGTACCAACCCTGCAATAGAAAAGTTGCGAAAAGCAAAAATCTATACACTGAGTAAATGCCGAACATAATATGTTTTTGGTCATTTCAACTTCGAAAGTTCAATTTTTCCGACTTGTCGCAATTGAGGAATATTCTTAATCAGAAGTCGAGCATTCAATATTTCTATCAGCACTCCTATTACATCGTTTGCAGATATAATCCAAACATAAACAGGATTGACATGTTCCGGTGTTTGTGCAAATGGGGGTTCCAAACTTTTGGAAGAAGTATACGTGTATTGTATCACTTTCCTCAGATAGCTCCAATACTTGTGTATTATACAAAAGCCCAATTCCACTTTTTAATTGAATAGTATTGCATCATTGTCAAATGAATACTTTTCCAGATTACCTGATTTCAAAATGACAAATGGGTTGTAAACGCTAAATGTATTTTATTTATTTCTTCGTCTCGAAGTATTATAATAGAAAATATGTGGTAAAACTACCAATTAGAACATACAATTTACCTCTACGAATACGTCTGATCTATTTATGTAAAATTATTGAAATAGAATAAATATGATTATGTGATTTTTTAAATAATGTCTTAAATTGGTTCATTTACGATTTGAGTTGTTTACACCATCAAAATGGTCTACACATTGAAGGTTGTGCAAACAGCATAATGGTTTATTTGTAATAAACCTGAATATGTCAAGGAGGATTGGCTCCCAGGGTTCAAACTCGATATTTTTAGTCTCCAGGCAATTTTTTCAGTGCTGATCGTGCCTCAATATTTTTAAGGCTGCAAGAAAAATGGCCGATATCCCAGGGACGACCTTGGCTTTGAGCGACGACGACGACAAAAATGTCGTGAAAGTCATTATATGACTCTAAATTCATAATATTAGTCCATATTAAAGATTTGAGCTAATATATTGATCACTTCTTGTTTTGAATTTTTGGGATGGTAATAAGACCAAAACTCGTGATTCAAATTCTGAGGTAAAAAAATGACGGCTGTGTAATTTTGACTTTTGTAATCACGACATGAATGATATACGGCAGGATATTAAGATTGAACCCTGGGAGCTAATCCTCCTTGAGAATATGTGTACAGGACAGATATAAAATACTTGTAAATGAAAATGTTGATGTAAATATATCTGATAGGAAAGGCATTCCTCTTTTAACAATGCTTTATCTGAAGAAGAATTAAAGCATCACTTGTGGTGTACCTCAAGGATCTATTTCGGACCCCATCCTATTCATGAATGACTTTCATAAGGTCTTAAACATTCTTGAAGGAAAGGTATCGATATGGAGAACTGAATTCAACAATGTTTTTCTCTTAAACCAATTATTGAAAACGTTCTGTAAAAACACGGTCCTTTATGTAATGTTGACTGATTGGCAACAATTTAATGCACAAATTATTTATATATATTTTTATAACTGTTTTTGTTAACATTTTTTGTTTTTTAGTGCAATTGTTTTTGTTGTTCCTTTCTACAAATTCTTGAGAATGAAATGAAATATCTTTCCGAACATTGTTGGAACAAAATAGCATATACAACATTTTCTTAGACCTCTCAATATTATAGTTATACAAAGGAAATTTTGGTTGATTTAACAAAAAGTATGCAAAAACTAAAAACAAAAGCCCTCAAAATAGATGAAAATTAAGATAAAACTTTTATTTCTTTAACAAGATACTTTTTTAAAATCAACCAAACTTTCCTTTGTACAATTATAATATTGAGAGACCTAAACACGTAATGATTATGTCGTTTTGTTCCGATGAGGTTCGGATAGATGTTTTCGAAGATATGATACCAAGAACGAAAGAAGTAAAGTGTCTCGTGTGTTTTCTAAAACAATATAGAGAAAAGTATATATGTATATATCTCAAATTGTAATGTTACCATCCAAAAGATGACCATTAAATTGACCCTTTGTAAAATTTTCAGAATGTTTTGATGACTGGTTTAAGAGAAACGCGTGTTCAAAAAGTTCACCATATCGATACCACTCCTATACTATTTCAGCGGATGATACGAATATTTTGTGTTCAAACAAAAAATCTTTCAGATATTTAGAAATGGAAACTTGGATATGCAAAAGACAATCAGCATTGGAATACTTTAAATCAAATAAACTCTCATTGAACATAGACAGACAAATATAGTCGAAATAATGTCCTTCGGCATTAATACACTACATTAATACACCCTGGTATCTATCCACCCACTGTTTGTACACACCTTTTCAGTTTTAGTGAGGTGTATATGAGACATTCGGATCCCTCTTTAGGGCCGGTCCAAAGTTCAAACACAACAAAGTCCAGGTGGGCAATATCTGGGAAGTATGGAGAATGTCTCTGTCCTAATTACCTACATACATATTTAACCTATTGCTGATGATATTGTAGATCATACCAGATTTGTGAAATGATGTGTTGTCCTAGTCAAACATGTTTGGCTCTGTTTGGTCGCTTTTTATGAATTGCTTTAGATGAACTGAAACCTTAGTGTCTCATGTCTTGTCAATGTGTCATGAAGCGTTCTATTTATGTTTTCTGTATTAACAGGATTTATAATTATTTTACACTTATTAGAAGAGGACATTAACAGCAGAGTTACCATAGCAACCGTAACTTCAGAAACATTCATTACCAGCATCTAAATTGTTTATCTCTTATGAGGGAATAAATGACCCAGTTACCCTGAAAATATTGTAAAAACGAATGATAAACTTTTAAGTTGGATCATTTTTATCAGAACTTCTGGATCGGCCCTTGTAAAAGATATCTAGCTTTCAGTCTCAAATGATGTCCAGTCGAAATCCAGTCTCGAAGGACATCATCATGATACACCATGACATCTCATTTCTTCTCAGTCCTCGGGTGAAAAAGATGCTATGAGTATCAGAATGAAGTCCATTGGCAATCCATGACAAGCTTGACCAGAATCCATTCACTATTTTATCAGGAATCATCAGATCTTTAGTAATAGCACGTCTGATGTCTATTCCAATGACCTTACTAAATTAACTACCCTAACATTATAAGATTTATTTTCACTGCTTTAATTTTTCTTTCCAATGGTATATGATAACAAATTACAAATGACAAAACAGACCAAAAAACCTATTTTATAAAGGGGCTTCTGTCCACTATCATTTCATATTTTAGACCTTGGATGTCGAGGCCCAGCAAACCAAGTCAATTTTTGAAACTGTTGAATATTTTAACTCCTTGGCTTATACCTTACATGTTACAGCAGAAATTGTATGCAAAAATTGACAATTTTCATCGCATTCATTTTTTCGTCCAAGACTTGGATAATGCTTTCGGATTCTCATTGATGTACCACGCCCAATTTTGCTCTTGAGTGGTAGCAGTTGAATCTGATTATGATAAGAGCTAATGTACCTCAGTACGTGCTATAACAACGAATTATAACATAAAAGCACGTTATCTTTTATATTATAAACTTGTATCAATGCACTGGTATGTTAGCGGGGTTACTGAACCTCCTACTCTTATCAACAAAATAGTGTTCTGTCAATTTAGAATGACTCCTTTATGACAATAATTAGTTGGACGAAGGTCGCATCTACACAGACTCTACACGTGAACACAAACTGACAAAGTCAAGTAAGCCGAAGACTGCGAATATTGGATACCCATTGCATTCGTACGACTTCGCATCTTAAAAGAGAGCTTTGTCTTAGTTTATAACTAGACTCTGCGCGCAGGGTATGACTTAGAGTGTATTTACATATAACTTCACTAGGTATGGGATACAGCATTTTATTCCATACTTAGTAGTGTTATAGATAGATAACATGCAGCGAGAATACAATTTATATACTAGTATAATATATATCACCCGCTCATCAGACCTACGACGTCACAGATCCAAGGAGTAGATAATGAGTCAGGGAACTTTCTTCATAATATAAACTAAGTATAGAATAAATCAGTTATTAAATCCCTCGGTAAATACAATATATCAACGCTATATCCCTACGGTCCCTCGGTGATGTATTGTACATGTATTTTCCTCAGATATACCCTGTATCAAAAACCTCCCATTAAATAACCTCTTTGTATTCCATACCCATTGAGGTTCTAGGTACATAACGAAATTTTGCAAACTTAAAAACTACTTTTATGACTTAGAAAATGCATACACCGTACCTTAAAGTAAGTTTTTGAATTTTGGAATTTTATGAGGTATCTGTTATGTGCGGTCTGTTCGGATACAGAATTTATCCCTCGGGAAATATGTGGAGCTTTCTCACGCGGTTCCTGTGGTCCCTCGGGAGATACACATATTTCCTTTCGGATAAACCCTGTATCCAAAACTTCCCAGTACATAACCCTTATATACGCTGAAGAATACAAGTTTCACCCTACCCAACATTAAATCACGTAATCTTAGTCAAATAATTTAACAATTACTTCTTTTATACGTGTACATAAATTAACATAACATTTTTATAATAGTACAATAACGTCATTTCTAAGGGCGATATAGTGAAATATTGGACCAAGGGCCGAAGGCCCAAGGTCCAATATTTCACTATATCGCTCGCAGAAATGACGTTATTAGTATTATTACCACCGTTAACGACCAGAACTGAAACAGCAAGAAAATCTTACGCATTGAACGATATCTAATTTCCCGGGGAAAATTGCCGGTCCAGAATATATTCTAGACCGGTCCATATGGACCACAACTATGACGTCACACATTTCTCAGGTCGATATAGTAAAATAAACGCCTTCTAAACTAGCACTAAAACCCCTAGAACTGGCCCGGCAAGGTGGTAATAATAATACAATAACGTCATTTCGAAGGGCAATATAGTGCATTCTCGACCGGTCGTTAATGCATTCTTGACCACCACTATGACGTCACATATTGCTCAGGTCGATATAGTAAAATGAATGCCTTCTAAAGTAGCACTAAAACCCCTAGAACTGGCTCGGCAAGGTGGTAATAATTGATTATAATCAAGTGTGACATCCCTTACATGGGCCTCATGTACAGTTTAATAACTTTGAACTTTAAGATTCTAGTTCTAAAGGAAACCAATGGTACCGTGACAAACATGAAAAATTCTTCTTTTCAACATCCACCACAGGATTCCTTTTAACATATTAAGGAAAGTGATTTTGATAAAAAAAAGTATTGTACGTTAATGTCAACATATATTATTACCACCTTGCCGGGCCAGTTCTAGGGGTTTTATTGCTAGTTTAGAAGGCGTTCATTTTACTATATCGACCCCTGTATATCGACCTAAGAAATATGTGACGTCATAGTGGTGGTCCATATGGACCGGTCTAGAATATATTCTGGACCGGCAATTTTCCCCGGGAAATTAGATATCGTTCAATGCGTAAGATTTTCTTGCTGTTTCAGTCCTGGTCGTTAACGGTGGTAATAATACTAATAACGTCATTTCTAAGGGCAATATAGTGAAATATTGGACCGAGGGCCGAATTGTACTATTAGATTTGTGTATTTATAACAAAATTGTACATCGTGGAGCCAATATTCATAAACCAGGAGCATTGGTCAATTAAGCACAAATTTAAAAAATCAGTTGGTCCTCAGCCCTGAATTATTAAAACCCGCTTTGGTAGCAACAAAATGAAGTGAACTGACTTTTATTAAAAAGAATGTACTCTTCTTTTTCTATTGTTTTTAAAGAATGGACACTTGGCAAGCTATTGAAAAGACGTATCAATAGTTGAATAGGCAATTCAAAATATATCAAACTTTGATCAATCATTGGGCCATTTTGGGCATTACTTCGCCTTTTTGGCCTTACTTTTAAATTTCAGGCCAAATTATAGGGAAAATGGGCCTTTATATTTCGAAATTTGGGCCCTGTATTTGATTTTAGGGTTTTTCATTACTTGTAATGTGCCCCTGTTAGTTTTCAGACCCACCCCTGGGTAGTGCTGTTTTCTCGATCAATATAAATCCAATTGCAACCATATTTACACTCCCCTCCCAGGGGCAGACCGGAAAGTGAAAAGGGGGCCCAAAAGGTTTGGACCCTAAAACTTGGGCCCAATTACTCAAAAATAGACCCAAAATTTAAAAACAACGCCCAGTTAGACCAGTTTATTACCAAAATTGCCAAGTATATGTGGGGTAAAGCAGGTTTTGGCCCGAAACTATTTTGGGCCCCACCGAAACGGGTGCAGGGAATGAAAGACCAAGCTTTACACGTCCACTTTGTTCTAAAACATATTCTGGTCGATGGGCCATCCTTATCGTGATTGGTGATTAGTCTACAAGGGTGCTTATATAGAATTTATTATCTCTACTTGTCTTGAAGACCTGGATAAATAAATTTATTGAACACACCCTTCACAATAGATACGTTATAAAACCAACCGCTTTTAAGATTGGTTATTTTTGGCGACACACCTAGAACTTACCTCATCGAAGAATAAAGAAAGATACATAATATTGGAATTATTAAATTCTTGAAGGTAGTCATACTTCTACAATCATCTACGTCTCAATCGATTGTCTATTCCCCTCATTCGGACATATCACCACTCGGATAGCATAAGATGCGGTTGGTTGCCTGGTTTCTTGCTACTCTGGGCCTCGTAGCTGCCCAGGAGTACAAACTAGTATGGGAGGACACATTTGATTTCTTTGATCCTAGAAAATGGGATCATGAGATAACGTCATGGGGAGGCGGGGTAAGTACATTGAAAGTATTTTCAAAATACATTGCTTCTAAAGAAAGAAATAATTATATATATCTGAGTGGGGAGTTCTTTTGAAAAAGTTCACCTCCCAGGTTTTAATCGTGATAAAATTCACGTTCAATCATTCACGTTCATTCACGTTCACACATTTCTTTAATTTGACCAAACTAGTAAATTGTAAATATTAAACTGAAGTATAGTATTTTAAATCTCCTAATTAAAGATTATAATGAAATAAAAAGATTCGCATTAGGAAAATTGTATAAGGAATGTATTTTTTCAGAATAATGAATTCCAAATCTACACCCCTGATTCTGCGAACAGCTACGTTCGAGACAATACACTCTTTTTGAAACCAGTAAGTAATCACGGAAGACACCCATCTCCGAACGATTAAAGACTCATGAAATTGAATCGTTCATCGCCAACTTGCATAAAGATGCAGTACAGAATATTATAAAACAATTTCATTTGATAATAGGCGATAAACCAATACAGTAGCATGCTTAACAAATATTGAAGATAATGAAGTCCAGTGTTCAGATTGTGTCCTTCGGTGTTATCTGCACCTATTGTTAAAGGGCTAATCGCTCTAATTCTCATCCTAATTTACACTTATTTACATTTATTTTTTAATACATGATGTGTAACTTACATAATCAAGAGAGTTGAACGCACAAATCGAAAAAATCATTTTCGTAGAAAATGTATTTAAAAATTGTCAAACCTCTTACAAGATGAGGAACTCATTTCATGATATGGTATCTTCAAAAAAAAGTTTTATGCCGAAATTAATCGATTGTATAAGTTACATATCATGATGAATCAAAACGTTTAAAGCTATTACATTAAATGATATAAGTAAAACAACCCATGATTGAACAAGTTTCATCGATGCAGCTAAAACGAGACATTTACATATTTTGATATTTTTAAAATATTTCATACACCCCATTATGTTATTATCTCTATAGACATTGACAAGGGACAACATAGATCCAAGGACTGGGAGACCATTTGGAGATGATTATCTTAAAAATGGCACTATGGACTTAGTAGGTAAGTATTTGTATATTTGATACAAATTGTATTGCACTATTGAACCAATGAAGTGCAACTAGAGCGGCGAGAAGGTGATAAAAAGTACATCCAAAATTCAAAATCAGGTGATCCAAGTGTAAAAGTCTTTAAATTCTCCTCAAAAATATTCTGCAAGTCATTTTCAACGTGTACCTTTGAATCAGAAATGGGTCGATAATCTTGATGTTAGGTCAAGATGATAAAATAATTATCATGCCGATTTGATATGATTAATTTCTAGCATTTGGTGCATTCGATAAATGTCATCATATCATCGAGGACGACATAACCAGATGAAATCAGCGAATTAATGTTTAATTTTTGCTGATTCACTTTTCTAATCGAGGATAAAATGACCAGTTCAGTTATTAAGTATATGTCAAATCATATCAAATCAAAAACATAACTCTTGGGCCTCTTGCTTGTAGAAAATTTTGTATTTCTACTTCATATTATTCTAGCTCAGTATGGTAAATGTACCCAGCAGGACAATGATGGGTGTGTCCGCAATGGCAGACAGAAGATGATTGCCCCTATCATGTCAGCACGTATCAGGACAATGGAAAGATTCGCCTTTAAATATGGCCGCCTTGAAGTGGAAGCCAAGATGCCTTCCGGTGATTGGATGTGGCCAGGTCGGTAGCTTTTGTATTTTAGAACTGTATCAGTATCCGTATTATCATCGCATGGCCTGATAATCCAATGGTTTTAGTTCCAAGCAGATTTTGAGATAACAGGGGATAATACACACCTTATTGGGTTGTGATAAAAACCAAAACAACCCAATAAGGTGTGTATTAATGATTAACTCCCCTGTTATCTCAAAATCTCACAGGCCCAGGGAGATTTTAAATCCCCCCCCCCCAGTCACTGTATCGCTAGTGTGCCCAGGAAGATTTAACCCCCCCCCCCACACAGTCACTGTATCGCTAATGTCTTTTTTCTAGGTAATACATAGTGAGTGGGAGGGGGGTTAACTCTTGTTCCCGTGTCTGTGCAAAATCTGCTTGGGAGATGGGAAATTCCTTAAAAAGAAAATTCTTGGGATTAAGAAATGGGTACCATTTACACAATTTGGGACATTATTGGCATACATGAAACCTATTTAAAACAGCATTTTGCCATCGTAATCGTAAGATTCCAAGCCCTCTGAAGTTTGAAAAATAAAAACACCTTGGTGTTAATCCATACATAATCCTTGAAAATGATTTATATTTTTTGGGACTATCTTTTTGGTGCAATCTTATAGTCAATAAAATGTTTTAAAGTGTATTGATGTTTTTTTAGATGAAAACACAAAAGTGAAATGATGAAAAACCGCCCCAATTCATTCTACAAACAACTCGCAGTCCTTTGTCCATTTTGGGATCAGTTTACAAATATTTTACAACAAAATGGGTGAACACGACGAAAATCTACCCAAATATATGCAGACGAACTTCATCGTCGTCTTCCATTAGGTCTAAAGCCTGAAGTTACAGTAATTGAACCCTTGTGAATCAAGATGAACTCACTTTGTTAATTGCAGCAATCTGGATGTTGCCTGAGGACTGGGAGTACGGGCCATGGCCAAAGTCTGGGGAGATCGACCTGGTGGAAGCTATTGGGAACAGAAACCTGACAAACGTTGACGATGGCAAATATGCGGGTATACAGAAGATGGGCTCCACACTTCATTGGGGACCAGCCGGGGACGACAACCGCTGGTACCTCACAAGTGGACACAAGTATGTCAGTTTTCAAAAATAATGTACATGTTTTCTTTTCAAAAATTTCATTCAAAAGAGAGCTTCATCCTATATTTAGCACAAGCATCTGGCCGGTTTCAGGATAAATGCTCCACTACATAAAAAAATATCAAATCAAATAACTACACGTTTTCGTATATGCATATGTGATGTTTATATATGTAAGTCAACATTTTGACAAATGCAGGGGCTGGTGTGGGAGGAAAAACTGTCTCCATGTCCCTGGAGTCTGCCCTTCCTCCGCATCTCCCTGGAGTCTGCCCTTCCTCCGCATCTCCCCGGCTATTAGGTTACTATTGTGACCCCGGGATTGTGACCTTACAATTACAACTATTAAACTTATCGTATTTATGTGTTTAGCACTAACGAGACCTACAACTATGCCGACTACTTCCACTTATACCGCATGGACTGGGACCACAATGGACTTAGGTATGAAATGTTTGCAGTTGTCTAGTGCCCATGTTTATATATTATAGGAATATCCTATGGTTTTGAAAAAATATCATTTATATCCATGAGTGGATATAATTGATATTTCTGAAAAACCATAGGATTGTCCGTTTATCCCATGGGAAATCTTAACCCAGCGAAAAAAATGGTAAACTTTTTTTTAAAAAGATTTCGAAAAAAGTTTTTGAAAAACAAATTTGAAGGAAAACATTTTTGAAAAAAGATTTTGAAGGTTTCAAAAATTTTGAAGGAAAAAATCTAAAAAATTTTTGACAAAAAATTATTGAAAAAATCTAAACCATCGAATATCACTTTTGAAACCATCGAATATCACTTTTGAGAAGTGATATTCGATGGTTTGAGAAGTGATATTCGATGGTTTGGGGATTTTTTTGCTAAAATATGATATCTTGATCCACATATCAAATATATCTTCACTTGATATTCGATATATATCCTTGTAACCATTGGATAAACGAATTTATCCCATACTTGGACGTGTTACAGGTACATAAAGCCGGTTTGTAAAAACTTATATTTTCATCAGCGGGCAGATATAGCTTTACGTCCCGCTCCGAGCGGGCAGATATAGTATATCTGCCCGCTACGTCATAATCGCAGCTCGCATATTTGTTCATAATTTGTAACGTTCGCGTAATGACTGTAAACGACAATGGAGAAAACACAGACTATCGGGATCTGTTTGATGGTTTAAAAAAGGGAAGGAGCATCCACTTAATCAATCAAAAATTAGAGAAAATAAATATGGGAATATTTGAGAGAACAGGAAAATCCGCCCACGGCCAAGAAAACAAGGACATGAGTATTCTAAAATATTTCCATGATTGAACAATGTTAACCAGATGACCAAGATTGGTATGGGATAAACATATTATCCTATAGTCGGTTCAGGATATTGGGATTATCCCTTGGCCAATATAATATATTTTCCCTCGGGACCTGCGGCCCTCGGGCAAATATATTATATTTGGCTCGGGATAATCCCAATATCCTGAACCTCATATAGGATAATCTCTATATATCCTTTCATAATGTTCACGAAGTATCTTCATCACTCAGATTGATCATCAAGAGTATCAGTCAGCGCGATGTTCTAACTAATAGTTTTCCGATACGCGACCCCGATAAAGCGACCCCAACGTTCGATCGGGAAGCATACACAAAGTAGCATTTAATGAACCATATCACTTGGTGCACATTCATCTCAATCCCTTGTCCAAACTCCAACGAGGATATTCTTTGTTCACCCTAGATTCTACATAGACGATCGCGAGGTTGTACGTATGCCAGACCCTAACATTAATGAGTATACAAACTGGACAGGCTGGTGGGACTACGGTATTAAGAAGGACAATAATACGCCATGGAAGAATAATTATACAAACCCATGGGTCAACGGCACTAACATGGCTCCGTTCGATAAACCAGTAAGCATGAAATTTAAATATGAAAATTAAAAGGAACGTGAATGTAAACGTAAATGAAACTATTAATACACACAGGAAAATCTTATAGTTCCTACAGTTCTATAAGGTATTGAATGATTTGAAGTGCAATGCAGGACTTATTCTGCTCGAGAAATTCTGTATTGGGACGATACGAAGTCGCGTGCCAATACAGAATATCGAATATTCTGTGTTCTCTGTAATTGCTACTGAGATTGTACCCTCCGAACCAATATTTTCTGTGTTGCTACGGAGATGAACAATGGGGACAATCTCAGTAGCAATACAGATTGGTACAGCACAAGAACTGAACAACCAGAGGGCTTCATTTTACAGATTATACGGTGAATGTATATGTGATTCTCTTTTGCAGTTCCACATTATCTGCAACGTGGCAGTTGGAGGCACTAATGGTTTCCTCCCAGACAACTCCAAAGCAACCAACAATGGTGGCTATCCTAAACCATATAACAACTCCGACTATGGTTCAGGTCAGAGCAAGTTCTGGGATGCAAGGGAACAATGGCTCCCAACGTGGAAGGGTGAGGACGCAGCACTACAGATCAAGTCAGTGAGGATTTACCAGACAGACTCACAAATGCCCAGTACTCAGCCTCCACCAGCAACACAGCCCCCTGCCACCTGCCCTCCCATAAATAGCTCAAACGCGCTTGCATTCTCATATGTACTATTACTGACTCTCATTTCAAGCATATGGAAGATAATTGTATAATGGAGGACTATATTTGCAAAGATTTTTATTAGTGGACATTTTTTACAGTGCATTCTGATCATGCAGTAACTTAGATATGACGTGCACGGACATGGGGACAATTCGGGAAATGCGGGCTTATCTCAGCTTTGAACGTTAATCTCTGCCTTATTTAAAAATCCAACTATGTGTTTTACATATCATTTTGAAGTATTTTTTTATTCGCATTTCAATGAAATTATTTTTCCTTCAAAATTTTGATGGGATCCAACACATTTTTAAAGTTAAATATACTCCGACATCGTCAAATACGCTGTAAGACGTAACACTTTACGCTTACAGGGCTCGTTGAAATTGAGATAACTTTTGAAATAATGATCAAAATCCCACTTAAATTTCACAATTTATTCAATGGAACATTTGCATTTATGACGTCACAATTGCTTAACGGCTACATTTCAAATTATCTTATACGAACGCTTTTAAAATTTTCAAAATTGTGTAAGGTTTTGAAGGCGAATGGGACGAGCAATAAGTTTACCTTCATTTAACCTTCTAATTTAGGTCTGATATGTAAGAAAATTTAACTGCACAATATTGTCATGGCGAAATTTACAAAATAATAACCGGTTTGTTTATTTTGCAAATAATATCAAAATAAGAGCTGGTTTTCGAGACTTGAAAAAATGTGACGCATAGATTTTTTACCACAAATTCCATACATATCAATTTTTACTAACGCCCCAAGTGGATTTCTTGACCGTTTTTCAAAATTCAAAAACATTTTAGAAATATTGTCCTCGAGATCTTGCTACCCTGTAAATTTTGTAATGATTAGATAAGGATAAAGTATTTTATTTTTAGGTTGACTAAACTTGTAAAAAATGTGACGCTTGTCGTTTTTGACGTTGTAAGGCTGTTTGCGCCCTATACTGCTCATTGTTTTGTTTTGTTTTTTGACGCCATAATGTTACGCTAATTGTCCCCAGTTTCGTGCGACGTGTAACAATGATCTTCTGGACTATAACGTTATAGATGGCAGCAGTGACTAGGTTAGCAGTTGTATGTAAATATCTTTTTAAACACTTTGTTCATTTCTTCAGAGAAATCAATTTATAAGATTTCTCTGAAGAAATGAACAAAGTATTTAAAAATATATATAAACGAGAGATGAACTTACATAGAACTATGTGTAAATAAGTAGTTTTCAAAAAGTACAATAAACTGATTACATATTTTATAAATCATTTCATGTTGATTTGCACGTCATATCAAATGGTCACATATCATCCAAAGGCTTCTGGACAGGCATATCGATCTCAAATTGCATACAATGTATATTGGCTGACTGAATAGCATAATTCATTTACCAATTTATTCTTCCGAAAAAAAAGTAGAAATGGTCACTGACATTAATCCATGAATTAGAACTCTACCTTGTAGAAAATATTGAAAACATTTTCAATAGTGGAGTGTCAGAGAGGTTGTACTTTTCAAAATTATCAATAGGTTAATGTTGTAGGCCTAAGTTGATAGGAAATATTGCGACCTACTTCCAATGACACCATCATTCTAGCCAATATTTCATAGATTTATTGATTTACCAAAAGGTGGCAGGGTTCATTGAAAAGGTCTATTAATTGGAATACAGTAGTACAGGAGTACAGTTAGAATTCTACTCATCCTCATACAGGGCTCTACTAGACGCGTATCCAGAAGCTAACAAGGGGGGGTCATATTTCAAGTCAGGGAAAAAACTTTCCGCGCTTGCATGTAAAATCCTTCGACCCTTAGAATCAAAATTTGGACCCAAATTTTGAACATTTAAGGCCCATTTTTGGATAATTTGGGGGACCTTTGCAACATTTTTGTGCCCAAAAATCAATTGGACCTAAAATAATTTTTTGGGTCACCCAAGTGGGGGGGGGGGGGGGGGGGGGCAGGCCCCATGGGCACCCCCCTGGATCTGCCAGTGGCGTATGTATGTATCATGTTTCTAAAGATTCAAATAATAAGAAACTAATAAGTATAAATAATGTCTTTATTGAATACCTGTATATATCTTCTATATATTTAACACTCCCTGGTACAAGTTATAATGTGAATCTCTGTCAGACAAATCCTAGTACACAAACTAAAAAAGTAACATCTTATGAGATGACATTCAGTCTTTAAGATAACATCTATTGGTAGAATTGATACAAACTAGGAGAGACAAAAGTCTACTGTCAAAGAAGTTCATTTTCATAAAATCATCCATGATCAAGTAACCTGTACAAAAGTTGATTAAGCTATTTGTATAAATAGGTTTTATCTGACAGAATGCGTTTACATATAACTCCTAAAAGCAGACTTTCTAAACATGCAGGTCCAGTAATATTGTCAAGTCACCAGGAAATCTATTCCAAAATAAAACATATTCAAGATACCACTTGGGAAAAATAAGTTAAATTATTCATACAATTCATATCAAAATTTCAATTTTGGAATTATGTTACAGTGTGTGTTTGGTGTATCAGTGGCATGCCCACATAAATGAATAATAATTTGAGTGAAACCATGATTCCATTTTAAAATCAGTTGTTTGCATTCTCTTGATGAACAATATACCTCTTAGTTACCTGACAATAATGAATGGTTGTTTTTTGCTATAGTAGTTATAAACAATGATTGAGTGATTCCAAGTGACTCAACAATATAGACTGGTTGTTTTTTAACATGTTCTTTACTGTATGAGAGGATCTATAGTGAGACACAAAAGTGCCAAACAACGCTTTATAATTCATGTGTGCCAAATATTAGAGCACAAAATATATTATAAGCAGCAACTTGCAGATACTTTATATATTTACATCAACAATTGTATGTATGATATCATCATGATATTGTTGTAGAAACGAGCATTCACAAATCATTCTAAAAATTCGCCAAACATTAAAATAATACCTGGAAATAAAAATCATAACTTAGACGGTACTGACAAAGTATCTGGTCAGTTTGGGTGTTTAAACTGGCAGACTACATTTTACAAAACATTTCTTCATAAATGAACATTAAAAGTCATTCCATAAACAAATAAAATATGAACAATTGCATAGAAACAATAAAACACAAAATGACAGAACAGTTTATCAATAAATTATCGTTAAAATAAATTATAACCACACTTTTAATAATAATTTTTGTCAACTTAATTTTGGAAGACAAACGTTTACCCTTCTACCATTGTTGACCTCTTATTCTAAAATCAAAGATTTACTAAATCAGTTTGTAAATATATGGGTAAAATACAATTGCTAAAGAAGTGTTGCAAGATGCATATAGATAAAAGAGCTAGCGATCTAGCTGTGTATATATATTTGTACAACTATCTACATACATTATACAGTACACAACATGATAAACCAAAATGAATTGCATTGTCAACTTCAATCACATAGCACATATATTATTCGCATTACATTTTGGTGGATCACACTGTACAGTACACACCATAACTAACCTAACAGTTTATTCTTAAAAGCCAGGTTAGTTTCAACATGTACTGTATTTGAATAAATTTTCCAAGCACCTTTATTGTTTATCATATTAATGAAAATACAAGTTAAATTAACACATATGTCTTACACATGTATATTGTATAAGTAAAATATTGTACTGGCTTCATACATGTTAAGGTATATAGTGTACATAAATCTGAAAAGCAGTTACATAGATATTGTATCTTAATGTTACATGGACAGTCACAATACATTCGTATTGGACTACATGTAGAAACATTCTGAAGACTGAAAAACTGCCCAATTATCAAATTTCTATGCAAACTTCTATCAGATTAGTTGTTTTCTAAACATCCATGTGTCTGTTATAAGAGTTTTGTACCTCCTCACCCGCTTTTAGTTGATGACAGGTCACAAATACATAAACATGCATCTTCCAATTGATTTCAGAATATTAAAGTCATCATGCATTAACTATTTACAACCCTAAGTATTAAACCATCTCTTATATCGGGTTAGTCATCTCTCACAAATTGGTAGTCACAATTTCTACCCTCCATACAGGGGTGGCAATATTTTCAACTCTCAAATTTTTACCCTCTATGAGAGCAAGTCATAATTTCAGCAGTCGTTTCTAATAAATTAATATAAAATATGTCTGTTGTTGAATCACTTTTTGTGGTTTTACTTCACAGTGTATGACCTTTTACAGATGTACATGTATCTTTTTAATCACACATTGTCACCTGCTTATATTTTTCCATTATTCCTTTGAATTTGATAGTTCACCTTCACAATGACAACGAACAATCAGACTGTACATTCACAAACGTGGCCCATCTTAGCTTGTGGCACGAAATGACCATATATGGTCAATCGTCATGTATCAATCCCATATAAGGATGATTCCTGATGAATACAATCTCTATACATGATCCATTCCATTCAATTCTACCGTCATCATTTATATCGAGTCTGATCTGTTATTCCGTTGTTCCACGCGTGATTTGTTATTCAGTTGTTCCGCTTTTGATTTGTTATTCAGTTGTTCCGCGTGTGATCTGTTATTCAGTTGTTCCGCGTGTGATCTGTTATTCAGTTGTTCCGCTTGTGATTTGTTATTCAGTTGTTCTGCGTGTGATTTGTTATTCAGTTTGGCATCTTGTCATGTTTTTGCATATGAATAAAAAGCACCTCATATTCACTGTATCACATAATATTGGCATATACACGTGTATAAATAAATACTCGACCAACCAATAATATCCTCTCTTTCCATCCAGGTATTTACATGTACAGCACTTGCGTTAATGTTACGACTTGCGAGCACCAATCATTACCTTAGATACAAAGTTCACGATAGCAGAAGCTGGCTGGTCAGGGTCTAGTTCTGTAAAGATGTGACAGGCATTGTCTACATTACTGCCTTGTTTACGGGCCACAAAGCCAAACATTCTGCAAGAGAGAACAACAATTAACAAGGATATACATTATACATTGCATTGCATTTCAAAATGGTGGGTTATGTAAGGGAAATTTATTATTTTAAACAAATGGGATTTTTCCCACAAACTATTCCTGAAGGTTAAAGGTGATAGATGGACACAGAAAAGAGAAATGAACACAGGCTGACACTGAAGTATCATAATCATTTGGCCTTTTACCAAATAATAACACCTCACATGAGAAAATGTAATCAAATTCCTCAATGAACAAAAAATAGTTAGTTTGTTTATACATAAGAAAATAGGGCTTTGCCTTGTTCGTTAACAGCTATAAGATACATGTTCATAATCCTGTTAAAACCAATTGTTTCCAAATCATCTCAAATATGACAATATTTTGTTTATAATTACAGGCATAGTAATTTTTCACATCTCATCAACAATCATCTTGAAGAATTGAAACCATATTGTACGTACTTAGCATTGGGCAGGAGGGTGGCACCATCTTCATCCTTGTTGTTCCAGCGTCTGTCCTCGGGGTCCATACCGCAGAATGTCACTGAGCTGACGGGATAGTGACGACGGAAGAATAACCTAAACAAAAAAGTCTAATGTTAGCACAGCTGGAGAATGTTGGGTGTAAGCAACAAGCAGTTTTATAAACAAGAGGCACAGTGATAAATAAAAGATAATAAATATCAGATCTTGGCATTTCTTGCATCTTAAAATTTCAAGCTGAATGAATAAGCAAGATGGTGTCAATATGACATGGCACTTTCAAACAATGAATGATGAAAATCACAATAAATGTTATGTATTCATAATACTCAGTTAAGAATTTTCAAACATCCATAGCTTCACTACTGAACCTGTACGAGTATCAATGATTTACATTGTAAGTGCTTAGGACTAGAGTCAGCTGATTTACTTGGGTTTTAAATGTGTTCTTACTTTCTTTTGTTGTCTGTGAGAGTAATGCCTTGGGAAGACACTTTGAAGTGGACCACAGTGTGCTTGGGGGGTGGGGCCATGGAGAAGGTCAACCTCATGGCTTTAGCTACAGCCTGAGGCCCAGTGAGCGACTCAATGTCGACAGAGTTGAGGTATATTACATTACAGGCAGCCCCGTGACTGAGGAGTTGACCAGCAGAACTGGGATTCTCTGTCACTGAACTACTGCTGCTACTGCCATCTACTGTATCTAAATGATAACATATTCAAAAATATTAAACTGTGTAGCATTTACAGATTTCTAGAATCATTTCTATATTCATCCTTTTATCTCTAGCTTATGTTTCTGACTGAATTATCTATGCCCCGATCATATTTGTCTACAGCTAGTATACAGCTAAAATAGTGGAATGTGTTACAAGATATTTGGAATCTGTTCACTCAAAAAGTCTATACGGTCAATGTGCAATTCCTACGCGGCCATACTGCATCTGGCTTGGTATTTGTCAAAAAGCAATGGCAACTATAGGGACTACAGGCAAATGTGAATGAGGCATTAACTTTAAAATGCTTGGTTGCTGTGGTGAAATCCAACATTTAAGAATTCTCGTAATGCCTATGCTCAACACATTAGAAAGAAAGAATTCAGATGACGTTTAAAATATCTGCTAAAATATTGGAATGTGTTACAACATTTGTGGAATGTGTTCATTCAGAGAAATGCCTGGGCCTACTTACCAATCTCTGGCAGGAATAATTTACAAGGCAGGGCTAGAGGGGTGATAGAGTGTTGGTAGACCAGGGCAGCTAGGCTACTGAACACTGGCTCATTGCTACATCCCTTCAGTTTCACTCCTTTAGGTGTTGGTTCAATCAGGAAGTGACGGACTAGCTCGTGGGAGGGGTCTCCTATTGAATAGTACAACATAAAACATTGAGATTCAAACATATCATACTGTAGATTCATCCTACACAGACTGTGAACGGGTTATATTTTGGGGTCTTTAAATATACATCTATCATTGATAGTAAAATGGCTGCATTTTAAGATAGGAAATGTTGGCTAAAAATACCACTTCCTAAAAAATTCTACTTCTAGCCAAGCAGGCAAGAAAATAATTCAAGTTGACTATCCCTAGAATTTAGTAGAAATTTTTTTGAGAAGACCCTTCACAGTTAGGATGTTTCATCTCTTTGGAGGAATCTGCTTGTATGCTGAAAGGTCAGTGTGACCTAGCTTGTTTAAAATAGCAGTTTCTGTGATTAAGTGAATAACAATTGCATCACAGAATCTTAAAATAACAATGCAAAAACTATCAAACTAATAAAAACATACAATGTGTTATGCATTACAAATCGCAATGAGTATTGAACAGATGATTTCTATAGTGTAAAAATATGGGATGTATTGGTGGTACGTTATTGGATCACTTTAGTGTTAGAATACAATTCAAATTCATAAAATTCTCATTGAAACCAACAGGGAACAATGGCAAAATAGTTTGTTCATTGCTCAGCACTTTAAGTCTCTGATGCTCTAAATAAACTGGAATTACTGAGTTAACAGGAGTGTTACACCTACCTGACTTTGTCTGTACATTGGGAGGCACCTGGGCCACCTTAAGTGCCAGACCAAAGGCACCTGGGAAAGAGTTGCTATCTCTAACTACAAATGTTCCTGGAGGTTTGTCCTTCAATAGGGAAATAGCTGCAATACATATAACATAATCATAAGAATTTATGAAAGGCCATGGTGACACATAAAAGCAGCCTTCTAATTTTGGAAAACTTTCTCATGGAATCTTCAATTCAATTTCAAATTAATTCAATTTATTCATAATCTTTATATAATATACAATATTTCAAGAAAGGATAGGTATCGATCTGGTGAACTGAATTCAACAATATTTTTCTCTTACACCAATTATTGAAAACATTCTGTAAAAAAACACGGTCCTTTATGTAATGTTGACTGATTGACAACAATCTAATGTGAAAATTATTTATATATTTTATATAACTGTTTTTGTTTACATTTTTCGTTTTTTGTCCAATTGTTTTTGTTCCTTTCTACCAATTCTTGAGAATGAAATAAAATGTCTTTTTCAAATTATATCGTTTCCATTCAAAAGATGACCATTAAATTGACGATGTGTAAAATTTTCAGAATTTTTTGATGACTGGTTTAAGGTAACATGCGTTCAAAAAGTTCACCATATGGATACCAATCCTTTATTGAGGAGAGTCCTCAATGTGGGAAACACTGGTATTCCTTCAGAGCATCAACAACTTAGTGATTCATGGATTAGTTTACTGAACCTTCCAGGGATGATGTCCCAATGTCAATAGTTGTAAACAATAAAGTTAATTTCAATAGTGTGGGGGCAGAGGTACTTGAAAATGTCTACCTCTTTAGTGAAATCTTTAGATTTGTTATAAAATGTTGTTTTGTATTCTCCGATACAAATGTGAGTCAAATGAAACACTACAGATGCATTCTGGGTGATTCTTACCTTCCTCTCTAGAGATGTGTGGTTTGTACCAGAACTTTGATGTATCACGAACAAACTTGGGGGTATGGTGCTGTAGGTCAAATGTCCCATCTGCAACAAAAGAGGAGACAATTACCCATAAACCACAAATTCTTTTAAATATACATATGCATCAAAATACACAGATATAGTACTGTAAATTGATATTAAACAGAATGGTCAAGATCAAAGTGAAGAGAGAGGTCATTACCCATGATGCAATATGGACAAAAAGCATGAAGTGTCATCTGAAATAAAGCCATATCCCACAATGCAAGTAATTAGCAGATTAAATCAACCACATCTGATAAACACAACATGATGTAAAACATTCTCCAACATTATAGTTACAGCCATCTGTAAAATGTGGAAATATTCAATTAGTAAAACACATGTGAGTAAGAGACTAGGATATCATGTCAATATATATATTACGTAATTAATTATGTTCGGGGAGGGAATAGAAGCCCATTACATTTTGCTGAAGTACATTCATTCTTGAATTGTTAGGCTTCTGTACATTTGCCTATATTTCAGTTTAAAATGGCTGCCATGTTGGGCGCAAACTTGTTTTGCTCTGTTATTGGTACTAGTGTCATATTTTTATGTAAAGTTATAGCTAAAGTAAAATAAGATAAGGAATCCAACCAGTGCAATTTCAAAATCAGCAATCATTGTGAAAAAGGGCTTATGCCTTTTTAGTAATAAAATCAGACCATATTGGTATTTGAGTTTTCATCTTGACAGTTGGAGGTCTTCTCTATAACTTCCAGAACTTAGTGTCATGGATAATAAAATCAGCCAGAATTTACATGTATCTGCCAATATCTGCCACTTTTTGTCAGTCTCTGCAATAGAAAGGCTGATTATGCCACTCAACATTCCGGCTGTTATGGAATCACTGGATGCAACAATATTACCCATAATGCAATACACTCAGCAGACGGCACATTTAGCAGACGACACTCACCATCATCATCACCCTGGAGACAGCATGGTCGCATGTTCTTCAAGGCACGTTCTATTACCATAGCACACAAGAAAAACAAACCAAAATTAATGAAGTTTGGTATTAAATATTTTAGATTCAAAGAAAGATGTCGGACAGATGCCAGGAAGTAATCCTTGTAGAGATTCAGAGAGCATCTTACTCATCTGCTCAAGTCGTAACAGTCTCTTAACACTTCATTAAATCACAATCAAATTCTCTAAGTACATTTTTACATTTAGTTCAACATTATATCTGATCTTGAGACCATCTCACTAACAACTCATCTTCCTGCCTCCGCAACATTTACATCATTACACCCTGAAATAAACCACCTTGAAATATAAGACACCATCTCAAATGCTTCCGAATGAACCCTATGCATAATCAGTTTTCTTTAGTAAGTGGGTGGTAAAAATGTGTTTTATCAACTAAAAGACATGGAAAACATTTTCAGTGTACAGTAGTTCTTAAAAAAATTCTCCTTTCAAGAATGTCAGTCTTATCAACAAAGGTGGGTAGAGTGGGTAGGTGTTCTTGTCATTACAAAATGGATTATGCAAAGATATTATATGAAACATTTGAGATGACCCCTAAGCCTGCCCTAGCAATGTGTCCCTGAAAAGAACCTATAACAGACAAATTAAAACTAAATGATTTTGGAAATGGAAAATGAAAACTTCCTCAAACAGAGGTTAACAACAATAAAACCTGGTTTAACTTTCTTCTGGTAAAATTTTTATGGCAACTATAAAACTCATAAGGTGATGTTAACTAGAGTTTATTTCTGTTTGTTGGAATTATCTCACCCTCCAGAAGCAAGTGGCCTTATAGTCAAATATGCTAGAAATTCAGTTATATACAATTACCTAGGCACTGATTAGAGCCTAATGGCTGATATATGAACATTTCCTACTTGTTTTTACCATCAAGATTACAAAGTGCACCATCATTTCAGATAACATTAGTATCTGTTACATCAGCATTGTGTTTCAAAAATTATCAATTTTTTCTCAACAAACACAATTCCAAGTTTCTGTTCTACAATTTCAAATATTCTTTCACTGCTTACTTTATGTCATCAGGGTATATTTATAAACTTAATATCTGAAGGGTTTGCTTTGTACCTGGTCCAATCAATCAAGACATTGAGTTATGCAACACATTGTAACATCAGCAACAAATGCAAAATCTACAGAATTCGATAAGTTGTAAAACACGGCTCTAGACTAGAACAAAATCTTCAAACAGCACAGATTACATGATTATGAATGCTTCGCCTCACTTCATGGCATCTCAAGTTAAGGATTGGATTTTTTCACGTATCTGACCTAAAAACCTCTGCTTAGTTGAGGAAAGTTGAGCCATGACTTACAATAATGTAAACAACCATGTTTTTACCTGTGTATCTTATGCCTCTAAATAGAGCAGAATGCACCATGCGGTTCAGTGCCTTCAGTAAGGGATTTGAGCATAAACCAAGGCTCAAAATGATCATGGTTGAATTTTTTCTCAATTCAATGATGATCCACAATCTGGCTGTGACCTCCAATTGTGCATTTTGACCCATTCAATTCATTTGAAAATGGGATCATGGGATTATAAACTAAGACAAGTAGAACTTACCCATTCCAGCACTAGATCCTCCACTGCCCCTTCTAGCAGTGCCAAAGTAGCCTGGGGAGGTGGCGCCACTGTTGAAGGAGTATGGTGTCGGGCTCAGGACGTGCCCAGTCTGTGACGTGCTCATTGTTGATGACTGCTGTAGGTGTAAGCTGCCTGGAGACTGCGGACTCAGATCACTGAAATTATGGGATATAAAATGAGCACAATCACTTTATGGGATGTAATGATACATTAATCACGGTTTGTTGATGGCATTATAAAATTCCATTAGGTAGAGGCATCAAGTGATTTATTCCTTATCAGCTAGGGTATGCTCAAAGTTGTTGGATATTTTCTTTGCCAATCTTTATATGATTCATGCAAGGTTTTCACAATTCCTGTTATACTGTATGTTGTCTTTATCTGTTGGTGGGTACTCTTAGTAAGATGTTATCATAATATCATTTCATAATATCTGTATCTACCAAATAACTTCAATAAATCTCCAAAATTCAGCACATATTTCCTACTTCATACATATATGCAGCTTTTCTTAGTTCAATGTTCCTAAATTGAGTCATCATAAAATCACATTTTCATTTTACATCCTCATCCCTAAGTACAGTACATATATAGTATTCCTTTCTCTTTTTGTAGCCATAATTGATGAAAATAACTTGAAACGAATGACTCTTTCATGGGTGTGTAAGTTTCATTCCAAGTTCATCTTCCTGGATCGTGAGAATCAACTCCCTGCTATGTTTTTTGAAGCAAACTGACTAATACCCTTTGGAAAATTGATACATCTTCTTCACACACTCTACTGATAAACTAATGATCTCAAAAAGTCACAACAAGGTTGTTGTCCCTGAAAGACACTCTCTCTTTACGATTAACACTTTAGATATGTGAATTATATTAGCTTGGCTCTGAGGTGCTCTCCTATTAGATGAAAGTCTAACTATAAAATTATCACTCCTAGTAAGAGGCTAAAATGTATATGCCAATGTTCTAAGGGTAACTGACTTAAGATACAAGAGAACACATTGCAGAATCTTCACCTCAGCATCACCTTATATCTGTATATCAAGATTTGGTAATAAACTATTGGATACAATTTCAGGCACAAAGTTATCTTTGTTTTTTTCTGTTTACACCCAAATGAAGCTATGTAATCAGGAAAAAACATGAATTCCTCATCCGGGGCTATAAATCAATGTGTGTTGGAGTGTATGTTGTCCTTTTTATCTCATGGCTTGATATGATATTCTGGATAAACTGGATATCTTCCAGGATTTAAACTTTCTCCCAGTGAATGCCATTGTATCATAAGTAGGTCAACTACATAAATGTAATTTGAGAGGTTTCAACCAGCTTTACTTTAACATTCCTGTCTAACAGAATAGAAGATATATAATAGTCATCATAAACTGTCTGGTATATCAAAAATAGATCAACATTGTCAGATCATACCTAATATGACTATAAACATTATGAACATTTATGAAGTTCATTCTCAAGAAGTATTTTCAGACAACAAAAACAAATTATCTAATTATTGAATTATATTCATTGCACCGGGAGAAATATGCTTCCAGTTTTGATATATATTTGATTAGTATTTATCAATATCTAATTAATCTTGACTAAAACAATCTAAGCAGTTTGAGTTTGAGGGATAACAGCAGAAATATTGACCAAATAGAGAGATATATAACTCTTTTGTTATGGAACATGTATATATACTTATGGGATATACCATAATTATGGTATAAGGGTCTATTTTTCATATGACAAGTTTACACTTAAGAGTTTGCTTTTCTTGCTAGGTTTCTTTACAGTTTTTGGTCCTCTCCTTTTGGCACTTGTGCTTAAATATTTGATGAAATTTGGTCATGACTATAACACCTGGAACATACTAGCCATTTTGATAATGAACAAAAATAAGAATCCCGTCAACAGGTTTTAAAATGTGCCACTACTGTTGACAAACAGACAGACTGACAAGTGAATTATTGCAAAAGCTTACCATTTGAACTAAAAACCAAATTTGAAATAAGATAAGGTACAAATGGAAATTGATCCAGCAGTTTTACAGCCCTGTCAAAGTAGTGGACACCCTTATCCTATAAATACCTGAGGGTTCATTGCATGATGGAGACAATCAGACCTGACTCACTTGATATCAAAGTTATCATGTACCTATACCATGCAATCTCTACCATTATTCACTTCAATGGACAAGGTAAAGTGCACGCAATGACCATCAAGGGGGTTACCCAGGATGCAAATTTTGCCATTATTTGCTTCAATAGACCAAACAAAATGGAGGGAATTACCCATAATGCAATCTCTGTGTATACGCTATTAAACTACACACAATAGCAATAGTCTTCACCATTTTAATATTTCAACTTATATTCAGATGAAGAAATTTGGAAGACATAAATGCTTTAATTTCAAAATTTCAATACATTTTATGGGAGCTTGAATGTGAAATTAATGTCAGTTACTTACTGGCAGAAAATAAAGTATCATGCTTTTTAATGCATATTCTAACCCAAATCAAAGAATTACAAATAATTCCAGAGTGTAGAAGAGGTTGACTCTTGCAAAGGGTAATAACAAGTATATTTACCTGCCAGTGGCTGAGATGGGACTACGCTGTGCTGCTGACCCACTGTGTTGAGTATCAATGTGAAGCAGGTTGGTCTGCCCATTCTGGTGCACTTGTTGGTGCTGCTGCTGCTGCTGGCTACTTGATTGCTGTTGGCTTGTAGTCTTTGTTGTGTACTGCACTTGTTTTTGCACTTGTTGTGTTTGGACTTGTTGTTGCTGGGCTTGTTGCTGTTGCTGTTGGACTTGCTGTTGCTGAACACGTTGTTGGTGAAGTTGCTCATGCGCTAATGTTCCAGGTACATGTGGCTCCATCTGTTGGCTAGCTATTGAACCAGAGCTGATTTCACGTTGTAATGTAGATTGCTGCTGTTGAATGATTTGTTGTTGTTGTAAATTTTCTTGTTGTTGCTTTTGTAAAGCTTGTTGTTGTTGTTGTAATTTCTCTCGCTGTACTCTTAATGTCTCTTGTTGTTTCAACATCTCCTGCTCTTGCTGTTGTTTGAGAATTCTTTCCTGCTCCTGCTGTTGTCTTACTAGACGTTCTTGCTGTTCTTTCAACTCCTGCTGTTGTTTTAAGAGAGCTTGCTCTTGCTGTTGTTTCAGTATAGCTAGTTCCTGCTGTTGTTTCAACAATGCTTGTTCTTGTTGTTGTTTCAACATTTGTTGCTCCTGCTGTTGTTTCAACAGTGCTTGTTCCTGCTGTCTCCTTAGTTGTTCTTGCTGCTCCTGCTGTTGTTGAATAATACGCCTTTGATCCTCCTGCTGTTTTCGAACAAGCTCCTCTTGTTTCTGTTGAAGTACAGCCTGCTGTTCTTGCTGGTACTTTAGTAATGCTTGCTCATGCTGCTGTTTCAGCAATTGCTGTTCTTTCTGTTGTTTCAACAGCTGTTCTTCCTGTTGCTGCTTCAGAAGCTGCTCCTGAAATGAAATAATAGCCCATAATGCATCAAGAAAGCACTTTTTAAAACACTCCAAACAGAACAGATTGAGTATATTCATAAGGTAAATATTCAAATAGTAAAGCAAAAATTCTTAGTACTTGCAGAATTTAACATAGTTTTATATTATTTATCATTGAAAAATTCAGCTTCTGATAAATGCACTTGTATGTCACTGACCATTTTCCTATTCATACTAATTACCCATAATGCATTAGTATTAAGCAGACGACACTGACCTGTTGTGCTTGCTGCTGCTGGATGGTTTGTTGCTGCACTATGGTTTGCTGCTGTTGCTGATGTAAGCGGGATGGCAGAGTGGCACTAGGGTGGGTCTGAGGTGGGAGATGCTGTAGTGGAGGACCACTGCTCTGTTGACGCAGGGTCTGGCTACCCCCCACAACCTGGTTGCCACTTGTGTGTTGCTCAGTACTCCACTGATGGGACACAGTTGATCCACCATTCATCATCTGCTGGCTGCCACCTGCATACAATAGACAGCTTTCAATTACAAGTTCTATTTTGAAAACTAGAATGTGTAGTTATACCAGAATACAGTGGCCCAGGAGGCTCATCAATAAATTAAACAAAAATAGAGATGAATTGAACCTGCAACCTTTTCACCTTTCAGATAAAAATATTAATTTCCAAATTGTTTCACATGGCCTCCATGAAGTCTATGGATCTTCAAGATAACTCATGATAACTAAAGAATTAGCTGATATTTTAGGACTTTTTGGCCCAATTTCAAAATTTCCTGGCTGGAAAGTATAAATTCATTTAGTCTACTGAACATTTCTACATTTGAAGGAACCCTGTGAAAAAGAAATGGATCATATCAAAAATATATGATCTAGGAAAATTCAACATCAATATGTGTGTTTGCAATTGCTTTATTGCTAGTCGCCTGGGGAGCACTGTACCTTAATAAAAATACATTACCAACATGCAAGCTATTTCTTTTGTACACTATACAATACCAGACACACAGGGTAAAAGACAACTGCAAAACAATTGAATACATTGATTCATTTCATTTTTATAACTTGTAGTTAGCAAAGGAAATTTAGAACCATTAAGGAAATTATTTATAAACAGCTTCTGTCATTATTAATATTTGCTTGACGTGAATTGGAAATTGCTCTTTCAGTCTATGGTAATGATAAAAGTAAATTCAAAATGTATGATTCAAGTTCTGGAAAAATGATTGCCATTGGAATCATGTTTTTTTGTTAGTTTTACTTGAATTGAGTTATTCCTGTCATGGATATGTTACTCATTCTATGGATATGTTATTCATTCTGTGGATATGTTATTCATTCTTTCGATGATGTTATTCTTTCTATTGAGTGCATTTGGCACACATTCCATGCACATTGCACTTTTCTATGTGAGTACTAAAATATGATGTCACAAAACTTATAATTTATGAAAATTCCTTGAAAATAATAATGAGATATTCTTAAAATGGCTGTCTATTCTATAAATAAAAAATAAAACACCATTGTGGGCTACTAAATAATTAAATGTGACCATAATATAAAGAAAACCTCTAAAATACAGCACCATCTATATACTTGCACTCTCCCTTAAAATAAACATCCTCCAAATAACAAAAGATCTAATGACCAGTGTGATTCTATTTTGTGTGTCATGAAATAACAAAAAAGTCACATTATACATGTTAATATCATCAGCCACCCAATGTGAAGACACAGAACATAGAGCAGAGATGCAGGAAAAGCGTGCAACTACACATGGTTAAGATTTGGATAAAGACAGCATTTTAAAGCGTTAACACACAACACCCTGTCATATGTCACCTTTAGCCTTCTCCAATGGCTCATCTACAATAGTAGTGAGGGTGGGGCTAGAAAGCAAGGGGGTGGGGGCAGAATCCTGACCCAGAGGATGTTTGTTGACCATCAAACTCTCCATATGTAGCTCCAATGCAGTGGGAGAGTCAGAGTTCGGGGCTGGCTTTAAGTCAAAGGCTGTTAAATAAGAAATAGAGTGACAAGTTAGGAGAGAAGCTGCAGAAAGGGTAGGACTTATTGGGGAGGTTATACAAAGGAGGGGAGGTCTTAATGGGGAGGATATGTCAAGGAGGGAAGGGCTTAATGGGGAGGATATGTAAAGGAGGGAAGGGCTTAATGGGGAGGATATGTAAAGGAGGGAAGGGCTTAACGGGGAGGATGTGTAAAGGAGGGAAAGGCTTAATGGGGAGGATATGTAAAGGAGGGAAGGGCTTAATGGGGAGGATATGTAAAGGAGGGAAGGGCTTAATGGGGAGGATATGCAGTTGAGAGAAGGGTATAATAAGGAGGATATGCAGTAGGGGGAAGGACATTGGATGGGAGGATTGAATGGGGAGGGTTTGCAGTGGAAAGAAGGGTTTCATGGTGAGGATGTGTAGTGTAAAGAAGGATTTAATCCCGGGGGTTTAATGATGAAGGGCAATAGAGGGAATAGTTCAATAGGGAGGATGTGCAGTGCTGAAAAAATGAGCATATGATATGAAGATTAAAATTCTAAATCAAGAGAGTAAAAACCAACAATACAACATATTATAGAGTTCAGAGCGACACAAAAAAGTTATGTACACATATGGACAGAAAGCAGGTACAGTACAGTGAACATTTATGAGCATTTGTGAGGATTTAGGGACCATCTCATTTGATACACACCTAATTCTACAATGGATGGGCCATCTTGGGAATCAAAATGTGACAATTCTTACCATGGGCATTCAATATATTGAAAGCCCATGTTCTTACTAACATACAATTTTGAGTCGAACAAACCTGTTCTGTGTAGAATTGAGTGTGAAACTTTTGAGATGACTCCTAGGAGCATTAATGAAAGGAATACATGTAGCATAATGTATGTGTGTTAAGAAATGTGTGTCATACATTATATGTCACAAAATCCCAAAAATGTTTTTGAGAAAAGGAGACAGCAAACAACCATAGGTTGCCATGGTGAAATTAGAGAGTGCAGTGCAAGTGAGAGATTTGAAATGGGTGGTAGTTTTCTACTACATTATATTCTACCTAAAGTCTGTCGATCCAACATGCGGGTTTGGAAGACATCATCTGGTATTGATTCATACGTGGGGTCGAAGTCAGACATGCGGGAAGCCTGCTGTTGCAGCACCATCTTTTGTATATTTTGTTGTTCAATACGTTGATTGACTGTGTTTGGGGAATGCAGGCCAGGATCGGACACTAACAAAATATAGCATCATACTCTAAGCTTTAACGCCATGACAGGTTAATATTCATATTGCAAAGGAGGATATATGAATCCCATAATTTCTGAACTTAAATTTCCCACAATGCAACTCAAACAATGCATTATGGGTGTAAATATTTTCCTCCCCTGCAATCATCTTAATCATGTCAAAATGTTAGTTGCTGCATTACTATAAATGCTATTAGCTATAGTCTACATTCATTATATCATGCAAAACCCATTACATTCATGATTTTTTTGTTGATATTAAACTGAATGTTTTCTCAAAAGGAATGGATGTCACTTTAACTGTTATTTAGTATTGAGTTTTGCATGAATGTAATGTAATACAAGTATGTTTGCCTGCTTTAGAACCCTTCAAAGTTAAGTATACTTCTACAAGCTGATATGGTGCAAAAAAGTTATCTATTCAAAAAATCATAAAAAACAACTAAAAACAAGTTTGAAAAGAATGAAAAAATGTATGCCATGAGATCAACTTAGAAACTATATGAAAAAACAACATCTGGGCATGTCAATATGACAAAGTCACTTTTTGACTGGAATTAGTACACATTTCTTGTCATGTCACGCTGGTTAAAACATCATATAGAAAATTCTGCTTCGTGAATCCCCAAATAAAAGGGGATGATTTGGATATAGGCTTTATCTCCAGGCAAATAGTTTACACCTATAGGATAATCCCAATATCCAATACTGTCTGTACAGATGGTTAAAAAATATATCCACATTAAGTCTTATTCAAAGTGATGAGCATTACCTTGGTTAACATATGGAGTTCTAGGAACCTGAGTGGGGGAGTAGTTTTGGGTAAACCCCCCAGTATAACTGGGGGAATATCCTGAGGCAGAGCTGGGTGCATACCCTGCTGTGTAGCTGGGGGAATACCCAGAGGCTGAACTAGGGGCATATCCTGCTGTATAATCCCCAGTTCTTGGGAAAGTTGGGGTCTGAACAGGTGGGGACGCTAAAATAAAACATGCATTTGTAATGTTAAATCATGCAGAAGCATTTAGTGTACATGTTAATGTTCTTAATGCATTATACACCCCCCCCCCAGCCTATTGAAATACTCAATACAAATTCATCACTGATTTAGGACAAATTCAGTGCTGATTTGGTTAGAAATCAGTGCTGATTCAGTTATAATTCAGTGCTCTTTCAATAAGGTGCAAAATGCTGCAATGTTTTATTGGTGCATGCACAAAGCAGTTTAGTAAAAACAACACCTTAGCAAAAATAACACTCCAATATCTTAGTTACATATGTTTGTAAATGTAAAACACAATCAGTATTATGTTACAGGCCTATAAAAATGGGAAAGATAATACATGCTTTTAATTTCTACATAACGGGTATGTTCATAATATGAAGTAACTGTATGGTTTAAGTTTAAAACCTTGGACTTGAATTCTCATGCTTTCATTTTAAAAAACTCTGTGGGAAAAGGGAATTAGAGAATGACTGGATAACGGGGAATTGGGCATATAAGAGAATGGGGTATATCAGGGAATGTGTGGCTCATACCTTGGTTAACATAGGGTGTCCTTGGACTCCTAGGGCCAGGAGAACTTGCTGTGTTGTAGGAAACCTGCTGTTGGCTACCACTCACTGTAAACAAGCAAACAAACAACTTGTGTAAACAAACAAGCAAACAAATAACCTGGGTAAACAAAAACATGAACACATTTTATAACATCGATTTGGCATAATGGCAAACAGGAAGTGTGTGAACAACTTCATATATGCGTCAGGGTCCTTGTGTATAATTATGGATCTCTAATAAAAGATCCTTACTTAGGATAAAAAGTCATCTGATATACATATTTTCGGTCAACCTACAGATCTTTTTAATTGTCTTAATGTCTGTGATGACATTTATTTTTAAAGGTTAAGTGTTATGTAGAATCACTTGGAAATTCCTCTGGTTATTTTGACCTGCAATATAAATTAACTCATAAATCACATTCTCAACATTACCAGCTGGTCCGAGTCAAAGGTTCACGGGTGGGGCAACACAAACAACTCATGGAGTAATAATTATGAAATACTATTTGCATAATTGAGAACCCATGTATGTTACTATCAATATTAGTCAACCAAAATTGAATTTCCATGTTTTTAATATTATTACAAGTATTGGAGTGACTGTTGCTTCAATATAATAGATTATAATAAATCGTCTAAATAGGTATACAAAACTTTTATGCCACAAAGCAACTGAGCCGTCCCCCTCAGACACCCCACTAACTACTAGGTTCAACTAGTGGTGCTGTTAGCAACTATTCTAAATGCACTTTTCTAAACTCTAATCTGAACAACAAATATCAAACAAGAGTCCCAGCTGAATTAAAGAAAATGTCCACAGCTCCTAAGATTAAAATGATAATGTGAATTTCCCATCACAATACATTTATTGGAAATCTATCTATTGCGATATTTCCCATGATACTTCACTTAAAGTAAACTGTCAGTTAAGATGTGAATATTCATGCAGGCCCAGTTAAGGTCAGATATGTCAATGATTGGTTACATGAATGACAGTCAAACGTTGTTAGGTCACAGGAAGTGCCGAAAGCGTTTGATTCACAGCCACAATTCGAGGTGAAATATAACAGAAAAAATAAAATACATGTCTACTGATGAAAATACCAATATAAAAAATAAAAAATAATTAATAATGATATATTTAACAAGTCATACATGATCGAAGCTTCAGAGTATAACAGCTTATGAATGTAAACAATATAATTTGAGCTCAGGGCCATAGATTCCCATCATTTAATACCAAAATGTGTATTTGTATAATATAAACTTTTCCTTCACAGATAAGGCATTCAACGTAGAAAAGGCCTTTTCCCATACATTTAAAAGGCATGTTCCCATACATAAAAATGGGTTTCATAAAGTAAGTATTTACATAAAATAAGCCTTTCTCCTGTACATAAAATATGATTATGAGGGAACTATAACCCTGAGCTGGAAAATACACAGTATAATGAGCAAGGTGAAGTAAGCTTGTAGCTAACCAACCAACCAATCAATTCACTCGTAGCTTCAACATTACCTTTAGCATCAATCCTGTCTTCTGAGAAACAAAAAACAAAAGTTTGAATAAAGATATCTTTTTCATAGATCCTTGCAGTTTACTCAACATTATGCACATTTATAATTTTCTTGAAAAGTAGACGTTAATCTGGACTTTATTTGCAGTTCATTCCCTATCACACAGGCTAATGGCCTAGTCACATAGCCCGGCCGATGAGGTTACAATGAGCCAGCGATCCAATTTTCACCGAACTCGGCCGAACACCGGCCGGACATCCGTGGCGTTTGTTGCTTAAAACCCCATCGGTGGTAGCTCGGTGAAATTTTAACTTCGGAGTTAAATTTCACCGGGCTCTCACCGAGCTCCCTCATCATGTCATCGCAGCCCCATCGTAACCACATCGGAAAACACGTCGGCCGGTGCACGGCCGAGTATTGGCCGGTGTCCCGTGCATCTGAGACAACCAGAGGACGAGGTTTTTTAACGGACAGCGTCCGAGCTCCGACCGAGCTCTGGCCGATGTGGGACAGAGCATCGGCCGGTCACTGTTCAAAGCCCGTTAACAACCCGGCTGGCGATCGCACGGTGTCCTGTTACCTGCTCGGGTACCGGCCGTATTCCTTCCGATGTCCAGCCGACCTCCGGCCGGTAGTTGCTGCCACATCGGCAGAAAAAACTACCATTTTGAGACAGACTCCGTACGGTCACCGGCCGGTGTTCGGTCGGTCGCCTGAAGATGTCCGGACAGAGTCCGTTCACGTCACCGAGCTCTGCTTCCGATGAGGAGAGCTCGGTGGCACCAAAAAAATCCACCGAGCTCTACCGATGCCGGACATCGGCCGGGCTATGTGACTAGGCTTTAAGGCCAACATAATCCAGGGTCTGGTAGTTGGCTGGACTTCTTTGGTTGTAACTACTGTTTCCTTGATGTTTCATTGTGTATAAGTCATAAATGGTCACAGCCACATGATGAAAAATTAGAGGGACCAATGAAGTAACTTTAAATGTAGCCCTTTAACAGAAATCTATCTTCTTCAGAAGTTTCATTAAACCATGAGCATTCAATAAAGTATTGAAAGCCCATGATTTAACTTTCTCAGAAAAGGACAAAGAAATGAAAACAACTGTCAAAAAATTAATAAAAACAGGCGATCATGGTAAAAACACTGAGAGAACCATTGCCTGCGGCTAAATCAAACCCCTGTTCAAGTCTTAACTATAGATTATATAAAAGGTTTAAAAAATAAACCAATGTTTTCTCTGGAGTATTATTAATCAATGTAGTTTGAAATATGATAAACCTGTTTGAAAACAAACTATCTTTGTAAATATGAGTTCAGGTATTGTTAATCGATTTTTAGGAATTCTGATACTATCTGAAACCACGGCATAAAATGGAAATTTCTTTTCTATTGAGTTTGAATCTTTGAATAAACATGTCACCATTCCATGTCTAAGTATCTCAAGGGGTGGGACAATTATTGAGTGAGAGATTTGTATTTTGTAGTTTATGTGTAGGAGTAAAATTAATAATACGATGAAGACAAAACGTCAAGAAATATTTATAAAAAATAATAATCAGAATGTTTTTTGTAATATCAAAGGGAATTCTTGGTATAAACATACCTTGTGATACTGGAAAGAGGGGTGTTGTGGGACGTGACCTCCCTATTGTTCCCGTATCAGGCTCCAGTGTTTGCATTCCTGGACCAATGGGACGCAGTGTGATTTTATCTTCGACATCCTTCTCAACACGGGGCTTGCTGTATGTTTCAATGTCATCAATTGACTGTAATTACAACAATTATATTTTTATGAATAAATAAAGCCGATAAAATATATTGCATGTATATTTGTATTTTTTAACAAAATCAATGGAACAAATAAAGGAATGCACTATTGAAGCATGCAGACACATAACTCATGCAGTGAAACTGAAACATACTGTGAAATCTATAGCTACAAACACATACAAATATGATGAACATTTACGATGAAAACACATACTGTGAAAAAATATTGCTCTAAACATGTATATGAACACATTCCTATACTGTGAACACATATACAGTAGTTACAAAAATGTATGCTCTGTCTCTTATGCCTTGGTCACATATTCTCCGATCCATCAGCCGGCGCCCAGCCGATTGAGTGTTTTGTTCAATATTATATTCAATTTTGAACAAAATACTCAATCGGCCGGGCGCCGTAGTAAAAATCGAAGCAAATGTGACCAAGGCATTACTTAGTGTGATCGACTTATAAAGGATATTTTTGCCAAACCCACAATAACACACATAATATTTCTTTCTGAAAAGGTAAGGTCATCCCAACCCAAATGGTGTTCCCTGACATGTAAATTGATCCACCTACGAAAACTACATGAATACATCTGAAGCACTAGCTAATAAATACTTTCTATGACACATTCTTACCATGTTTTTAACTAACAAAGGTATTGCTATATGCGCATTGTATGATTTCACATGACACGTTACTCTTACTCAACATACTGCCACAAACAACTTGATATTGTGTACCAGTTTGACATTTTTTGTAACAGTTTGCTTTCTGAACATGCCAACCATTATATACTGAAGGAAAATCAAATATTTTGGAACAACATAAAATGAAATGAAATCAGCATACAACAGTTTAGTTCGACCTTGATAACCACAAGTCATTAACAACACTGAATATTGGAAATTGACGGTGAAAACAATTATCAAAACAATAATCAATTTTTACATTTTTTGTAAAAATATGGAGTATTGACAGATAGTAACATGTCAATCAATAAACAAATGCAAACACTTGAACTGGAATACTGAACAAAATTATTGTTTGGTTTTGATATTGATATTTGTAATTGTAACAGTCCCTGGTGTTGCTTATTACAATGTAACATAAGATGCCTTGGTTAACCTTTGTGTTTGACTTCGCTTCTTAAAAGAGAGCTTCATCTTCAGTTTATAGCTATACTGCGTGCCTTGGGGCAATAGGGCAGAGAAATTCATTTTAAAGCCAGAAATAAATTCTGTATCAATTTAGAACCATTAAATACTTCAAGAAGGGGGGAGGTTGATATAAAACTTCATGACTTAACAGTACAGTGTAGGGTTTGTATAGAGTTACAAAATGAATGTTTTTTATAGTAGGTACTGTGTTCAACATGTTGATGATGGTTAACAGCTAGAGAGCTAAAACCATGAAACATACATGTGGTTAAAACATGCATTAGCTGGGAGGGTATTATATTGTAATGAACAAGTATGTGACTGGGGACAGGTGTTAAGGACATCCATATAGAGATCTGGGTCAATGTCACTGTATCAAGAATGTTAATGAATAGGTACATCTAAATATTTGTCAATTCGAAGGAGATATGTTAAAGTACATTAATATATATACCATAAGTGATAAGAAACAAATTACTCAATGTATCAAGGTAAATGTAAGTATGTCTGTATAAGCAAATTAAGGCCATATTTTAGCATTAAATTCTAGATATGTACCTTATCAATGATATTGTGGGCAAAAGTTACAGATTTTGACATTCCATTGCCATTCCTTCTCCTCTGTACTGGCTTGCTATACATGATGTACAGTGCCCTTTTTCTGCTGCCCAGTATATTAAATTCCAAAATTGTTAATCCCAATGTTCAAAAACAAGTTGATATGATGAGTTCATTCATCAATCGATGTAAGCTCCTTCAAAATGTCTACCATGGTATAGAAAAAAATCCCCTGGAATTTTATTTCTCTTTTTCTAGAAATAAATACTAGTTTAGTATACTAGTTGTTTTTCCATGGTGTGAATGCTCCATTAATTCCATTGAGGTAATCCACATCAAAATAACAATATGACGACATGTACTTTATATGCACTCTCCAGATAGCTCTTTCTATTTATCAGGTAAGATGTTATCTATTCAGTTTTAGTAGGTCAAGTATGTTGTTTATTATTGTCAATTAAACACACATGTGTATCCCAACTATCCTCATATATAAATATTACTGATCTATCAATGTTTCATCCAAGCAATTGATCGCAAATTAATGCTTCTTAACAGCCATGTTGAAGTCGTGTTTCTCCTTTGATATATTCACGATAGTAATATCTCAATCCATGTAACATCTATGTGGAATCCAAGGTTAAAGTGACTTCATCATCACAAACCACAAACGCTATTCAGTTCCCGTGTTTGTATTTCGTGAATGAACAATGGTTTGATTTGCTACTTAATCACGATCCTTAATTACGATCTACTAGAAATGCTTAACTCTTCATGTAGCTTATCAATTTGAATGATAAACATGTGTTTAAATGGTTTGACCTTCGTAATGAAATACCTTGTATTGTGATAGTGAATAAATAGAATTATAGCGCATGGTAAAAAAGTAATATCGAAGAGAAATATGAACCTGAACTGAACAAAGTGCTAAGGTTGCATGAGGCCTTTAAACATTCACAGGTATGTGACACTTCAAAATAACTTTTACTTTTTTGTTTTCTATTTTTTACCAATACATGAAGTCATAAAGTATTCTAGCCCAGTACTGAGTAACACCAAAGGTGAAAATTGAACAAAGAAGAATCTAATCAAAACAAAACAGGCATTATGAATGCCTGATTGACATATACACCTAACATACACCTGCCTTTAATGAAGCTTTCAGATATTCAAAGCGTGGGTTTTTCAAGTAAACAATTTTTTATGATACGGGACAAGGCCCCACACATCTGAACAAAATAAATCTGAAATTAAAATTGGCACGTCTCTTTAAATTACACCGTTCTAGCTAGAATTCATGTTTGATTCACTGTAAGGTACTACTAAATAGCATGCGGAATATGCTACCACTCGGTATAAAACTATAAAATGTTGATTTAAATGACTGGATTCATCGCTGCATTAATATCATAAAATAAAAATGGTCCCAAGGCAAAATATATCAACCTGTAACTGCACAAAGGGGGTGTTTATCTGCAATTTAAAATCATTTCAGACTATTATTTCACCAACCCCATGTAGAGTAGACATGCCCTTAAACAAAACGGAACTTCTCATAATTTTTTTAACCAAATTTTACTGTTTCTTTTTCACTGAAGATAAAAATGTCAAAATCAGTTGAATTTATCAAATTTAAATCCTGGATGGGGTAACAGATATAGACTTAAAGGGACATTCGACTCTTTATATCATAAGAAAAATGACTCATCCCAACAGATCTTTTTAAAATTTATGATAACAGAACCAAAATTGGTTGATGTGATTCATACTGAAGGAGTGTGACATTTCCCATGAAGTGTCATTGCATGCAAATCAAGATATGACATAACTACATGCAACTTAGGAACATGTAATACTTCACATAACATCTTAACCCCCTAAAGGTAAAAAAATAAACTACTATAAAGCATGTAAATGTACTTCAAAACATTAAATTTTTAACTGTTTTTTTTCTATGCAGTTTAATATGAACGCCCCTTGGGTATCAAGTACTGTAGAACAAGATGCCATTCATAAACTGGTTACTCACTTAAGTAAATGAATAAATAACAAAAAGTTAATTACAAAAAAAAAGAAAAAAACTGAGTTTGTCACAGCATGTAAAGATGGCGGGCTCAGCATTAACAAACTAAACTAGATTCTTTTTATGAATGGCAACTCAGGAATGTGTTCAATCTTCCCACTGATGTCCTGTTAAAGGCCAAATGTCAGATATACTGCTTATTATGATGGATTAGTTTCAGGAAGCAATTTGTTGGGGATAGGAAGCTATTACAAATTCATATACAGAAATTATGAAAACAAGTTAACTGAGTCTAACAACTCTAAGAAATAGAAACGCGTGTCTCACTGTAACATAATACAAGGATGGCTATCTAACATCTTATCTTTTCCTTATAAGGTTATATAGCAAAGCATATATAATATCTACGACAATATTCCTCAAAATACAAAACGTTAAGCATGACATCCATGATGCTAATAAACAGGATGGTGAAGAAGTAATTTGACAGTGCCACTGATTTTTGTTCCTGATACACCCTGTGCCTTACATGTATATACAGTACTATATATATACAGGGTGATCCAGAAGTAACGTCAAAGACATTGTAATTTCAAAAGTATTCATCAGATCTTCATGAAATTTGGTATACATGTACCCACAACATTTCTGAGTTACCATCTCAAAGATTGGAATTCAATCATTTCATTGGTTGAAATTATGGTTGCTATAGTAACCCGATATCGCGTAACCCGGGGCAAATTGAAGAGAAACCATAACGTTTTTGTGAATTTCTCTAATTTAAAAAGTCAGTAACATTTGAAAATGTTCATTGTTTGTTTTCTATTATTTTTATATTTGTTGCCATGGTAACAAATATGTAATAGTTGTGATGTCACAATAGGCATTCATAAAAAGCTTTCAATTTCTTTGAATTGCTTCCATCATCCATGACAAATACTAACATGACCAAGGACACTAACCCACCCAATTCAAGATGGCGCCAAGTCAGAGTAAAATAGAGCAAAGAACAAACATTAAGTTCTGTGTAAAGTTGGGGAAAGGTGTAAAAGAGACTATAAGACAGATAAAGAAGGCATATGGTAAAGCTGCCATTGCTGAGAGAAACATTTACAGGTGGTTTAACAAGTATTCCAGTGGATATGATGAAGTGGTAGACAAGCAGCGAGGAGGCAGGCCAGTGTCGTCATTCGATGATCAAACCATCAAAGCAATTGAAGCTGATGTTATGGACAATAGGCAAATTTCTATCAGAGAATTGGCTGAAAAACACGATCTGAGCTATGGGACTGTGCAACGGATACTGACAAAGAACTGTCTGTTAAAGAAGGTGTCTGCTAAATGGGTGCCGCATGACTTGACACAGGAGCAGAAAGACCGGCGTGTTAAGGCTTCAAGGGACTTTCTTGCAAAATATCGGAGAGATGGAGATGACTTTCTTAACAAGATCATTACGAGTGACGAATCATTGCTATCATTCTACATCCCAGAGACCACGCAACAAAGTTCATCGTGGAAACATGACAACTCCCCAACACCAACCAAGCCTAAAATAGTACCAGGAATTCCACAAAAGAAACAAATGGTTGTGACATTCTTTGACATTAGAGGAATGGTGTTAACCCATTTTGTTCCCATTGGCCAGAGAATTAATGCCGTTTACATTGCAAAGGTAAGATATCATTTGTTCTAATAATACATCATACTGTGAATTTTATTTTTAAATTAAAGTATTTAAATGTTGTTCACTGTCAATATAATTATAACTCCATGGCCATGATTCAAATCCAAATCCAATCAATGAAACAACTGGTTTAACAACCATTAAACATTTGTTTTTCAGGTTCTGAAGCGTGATCTTCAACGTTCCCTGAGGAAAAAGCGTCCCGGACATCTGCAGCAGTTTATCTTGCATTGGGACAATGCCCCTACGCACACTGCAATCCTGACCAGCAACACAGTCCAAACACTTGGATTTCAACAACTTGAACATGCCCCTTATTCACCTGATCTTGCCCCCAGTGACTTTTATTTGTATGGGGAACTAAAAAGAAACCTTAGTGGAAATAATTTTCAATCCTGTGATTGAAAAATGCCGTAGTACTAGCCCTACAAGGAATGAGTTCTAATGGATTTAATTCTGTGTTCAAGGAATGGGTATCCAGACATGAGAAATGTGTTGCAAATGGTGGCAATTATGTAGAATGAACTATTATTAGTAACTGTGCAATAGTATGATTTATATTGTTGTGAAATAAAATGTTGAGGATATAACAATTTCAGATCTTGTTGATATTTTGAGATTACGCATTACACGTTAAGTAATTTGCCCCGGGTTACGCGATATCGGGTTACTATAGCAACCATAATTTCAACCAATGAAATGATTGAATTCCAATCTTTGAGATGGTAACTCAGAAATGTTGTGGGTACATGTATACCAAATTTCATGAAGATCTGATGAATACTTTTGAAATTACAACATCTTTGACGTTACTTCTGGATCACCCTGTATATACCCCACATAATTTATTATGTGTATGTATAATCATGAGATCAACATTCTATGAGAAAATGAGCCAGATTTACTAATGTTTACAAAAATTAGAGCACTTTTGATCTTACTTAATGATCACCCTGTATAGCACTGATAAGATACCCAGAGACAAATGGAGCATAAGAAAGCTATAACTACACCCCCAAAGCACAAGTGATGAGAGATGTCAGAGATACATGAGTACCTTGACCAGTGACCCATAAACCATACATAGCAAAAGCCCATCATGAAACCATATTGGTTTACTCCATAATGTGAGAGGCTTGTAGAATATTATTCGATAGAGGCATTTTTTAAATTGAAGTATCCCCTTGAAGCATCATCTAAAAAGTAGAGCATTTTGGCTAAAAACAGCTCTAAGTTGATGTAATAGGTCCTGAATATGGGTATAATGTATTTTCAGTCAATTTCTGATACATATTCTCAAAAGGAACTGCAAGGGTTTCAGTACCTATACAATGCTGTTTTCAATCCAAATGCTGGAAGCATGCACATGCATAGCAAATAGTGATCACAAGAGTCTGCTTTAAACTGACTACCAAGCAATTGATACATGAGTAGGTGACCCAAAAACCATAGAAACCAAATATAAACATCTACATCTGCAAAAGGCTAATAAGCCCATTTAAAGCAGATATAAAGCCCTGTATTACTGAAGCAAGTGCGTCTTCTCCACCAAAGTTAGTGTTAAGTTTACCACATGTAGTTATACCTTGCCGATTGCTATGGGCTTTAATGTGTAGCTTTCCTGAATCTCGTAGTCCATCTCAACTTTCTTGGGCTTGTGAGGAAACGTGAGAAATCTACTCTGTTTGCACAAAACACAATGCAAAATTACACACTTTTACTAAATATTGGGATTTGGTACAATATCAATGTCCATTCAATAATATATTTCATAATAATTTCATAATAATATATTTTATATTTCAGGTATTGTTTTAGACTTAACATCAACATCAAAATCTATCAAAGGTATATCTCATTATGTTTCAATTCATATTAGATGGACATTTATATTTTGACCAAATCCCTAAAAACAAACATAAATGTACACTCAGCTATATTCAATTAGCACATACTTTTTAGTCACAAATAAAATCCATTATGTTAATTCAAATCAATGCATTCTTGCTTTAAAACATTCAGCTTGAGAAAATAAAATTAACATATTATCAATTAATGCTCAAAATAATGAACTATGAAACAACGGCAACGCCAAAGCGTAGCGAATCCCATCAAACATTTTTCAAAAGGGGCACCTTCTACCAAAAGTGTCATTAGACAGTGTGCCATGCTTATAATATTCACATACCAAATATAAACAAAATCGCTCTACTACTTTTCGATTTATAGTAAAATACGTTAAAATGGTGGCCATTTTTCAAAATGTCCACCATTTTTCAAAATGGCCGCCTTCTACCAAAAGTGTCATTAGACAGTGTGCCATGCTTACAGTATTCACATACCGAATATGAACAAAATCGCTCCACTACTTTTCGAGTTATAGTAAAATACATTAAAATGGCGGCCATTTTGAAAAATGACTGCCCTCTACCAAAAGTGTCATTAGACAGTGTGATATGCTTATACGTATTCACATACCAAATATGAACAAAATCGCTCCACTACTTTTCGAGTTTTAGTAAAAAAAAGTTAAAATGGCCGCCATTTTTCAAAATGTCCGCCATTTTTCAAAATGGCTGCCTTCTACAAAAAGTGTCATTAGACAGTGTGCCATGCTTATTGTATTCACATACCAAATATGAACAAAATCGCTCCACTACTTTTCGAGTTATAGCAAAAATCGTAAAATAACGAGTAAAGGCCACCATTTTTCAAGATGGCTGCCATGTGCTTTTTAATATTTACATTTCTAGCTTTATTAATGTCCTATATATTTTTTTTACATTTAAAACATATTGCTATTACAGTTTTACATATTGCACCTAAATTACTGTAAAATCGGCACTAAAATGGCCGCCATTTTTAAATGAGCAGCCATTTTGAAAATCGGCTTTCGAGCAGAACTTCTACTCCCATAGGGTATATGTGTACAAAATATGAATAAAATCGGGCCAACGGTATTTGAGTTATTGCCCGGACGGACGGACGGACGTACGGACGTACATACGGACGGACGGACGGACGGACGGACAGACGGACGGACGGAGGCGTTCCCTATATCCCTCCGAACTTCGTTCGATGGGATAATAACTGATTTTGAATGGTTTTATTTACAACATGATATCATTAACATTGTGAAAATGTAAAAATGTAATAAAAAACCAAACCTTATACCTGATACTTGAAATATTTTGTAAGGTACTATTCTGGGGCTATTCTAATTGATTTTCTTCCAATTTGTGATTGAAATGGCACTATGGATAATTGTGCAGGAACATTGTACATTGCATATATTGCCCCAAAACTACACCCATGAATGAGAGGCAAATTAAAACACCCAGTGCTTCATTTTTGAAACTTATGATTTGGTTTCAAGATTGTTCATTCCAAACAAAACAGTGTCTCCTAGAATATATAATCATACCAAAAATTATATACCCAAGTTTCATTGTAAGAGACATGTACATTTTATTTGTTCTTTATACACAGATAACAACACTATGAAATCTATAAAAGTGAACCTACATTTAAGCTGGTGATAACTTAAAGCATGAACACACTCCTATTAGACTGCTATGCACAAAGAGTGTTAAGATCATTCTGCAAACCCAGTAAGTATACACTACCCTGAGCCCTCATTGGCAAACCATACTACTGGGTGACACAAAAAATGCCACCTTCCAATTTTGGAATAACTTTCTCAATAATTAATGAATCTTCACGATTATTTGTGGAGATAAAGTGTTCAATGCGTGAACAAATTGCTATTCCTTTACAGTTTCAATACTGATAGACAAATTGATCAGAGTGCCATTTCATCTAGAATCCCAAATGAAACGTTAACAGCATTTTCGGAAATTCATTGCGAAATCAATGTAAGCTAGTCATAAGCAGAAAGTGTGATGTGATTTTCCAAGCACATAATCTGATCTCATTTAAGAATGAAGGTGCATTTGAGTTTTTGTGAAGGGAATGTGTATACTAAATGTGCAAAATAATTCAAATGTCAGATTAAGCTAATGCTGCTAACATTGACATGTAATGAAGCTACAACTGTTAACAGACACAACATAGAGATATTAAAATTAATGCTCTTTTATCATCTTCAGAAAAAGGTACATCAGTGCAAGATCAAAATACTGGAAATGTAATGCAATGTGTGGTCTATTCTAGGTCTGAACATATGAATTCAAGTTGTTTTCAAATTAATGATGGAAAACATTCACACTGGTGTTAAAAGACATATCTAATCTGGGAAAAGATTCTATGTGAAAACATTCATCTAATCTGGGTGCACATCTACATAATACATGTGGAGGTTGCAATATGATCAAAATGTAGGTGGAAGTCAGATAAAAGTATGACTTTTGAACAAGAGGTTCTGAAAATATGTCAATATTATCAGGAATAAACTTGTTGAGGGTTAGTATACCTGGCCTTACCATGGTGGTCTTTGGAGCATCTTCATGGGACAACAACAATAAAACATAGTAGGGCTGGTTCAAAATATCAATACCTTTAGTGCAATTGATTTCATACAAGCATAGATCCCCTCTCCCCATTCCACTGTTCAATCAACCTACATTATCGCCCACTAAATTTTCAATATGTTTTTTATAATTTAACCAAGTATTACTACCTTCGTTCCCTAACATAATTAGTTTCATGAAAAAATTGATTTGATATCTGAACCAACCCCTTGAGTAGAACACATTTTCAGATTCCATGTGTATAATCCCAGTACGGTTACTAACCTTAGTTTGTGGTTCTATGTCAGGTGTTTTGCTTCTGGGGGGTTTAGAGTTGGCGAAAGTGTTCATCTGTTTTGTTTCATAACTCCTAGTTTCATATGACTTATTGGCAAAGATGGCGCTGTCTGATTCATACCCAGAATTCACAGATTGTTTCGTCGTCTTGGAAACCTTTTTGTTTATGATTGGCTCTTCCTCAACAGTTTTGATGGGAGATATTTTGACATTGTTTGCCGTATTGTTTGCATCTACACCAATCAGGGCCTGGATGCTGCGCTCCAAGTCATCTAATTGGCTGGAACTGTAGCCTGAAAATAAAGAAAATACAATATGATCATTTATGAAAAAAATATTAAATGACCTTTAAATAAACAAGATTACTGAAATGAAAGGGACAAGTTACTGTCACATTATAATAACTATGTGAAACAAAGGGTTGGGATACTGCGGGGAGACTAATGGAAGAAGGCTTAGTTTGTAGAAAGACCATCAAGGACAGGTTAATTGGTGGAAGGACTATACTACTATACTCAGGAAGTTTCAGGGTAAGGACCACTGTGAAAAGACCAAATGGTAGAGACTCTACAGAAATGTCTAAAGTCCATTAAGTGAAGCCAGTTGAAAGAGGAAGACCATTTGATAACCAAGACCACTTGAGAGTCTCTTGGGGGAGGACCACTGGGGAAGTGTGGCCTCTGGGGAGGATTGAACTATACGCCAGAGAAGTATGAAAGCAAATGTCATAGATGATTCCCCAAATCTATAGAATATTACAAGTGGCTAATCTGAATCAAATACAAGAAAAACATTATGTAAAGTAACAATGGCATTTAACCTAGGAATGTATATATTTAATAGGATTATCTAGTATTATCACTAATCCAATTGATCTGCTGCCTACACTGTATTTCACAAATGTCATATGGGATTAACTCAGATTATCGCCCTCATTCATATTACAACAGTGTCACATATTTGACATTTGTTTCCTTTATCAACCAATAGAATTCAGTTATCTCAAATCTGTAATGAAAACCTCAGATTGGGATATTTTCTCCATCGGGAAATCAACACAAAATTACCATAAAGAGATTGATATGGTTATTGCTTGGCTTAGATTAAAAACAAACAGACAAAAGAAGAACAATGGGGTACATAACTCATTCATACCTGGATGGAGAGTAAGCTTATAAATCCTTCACGCAGGTCTCTCACATAAGTCCATGCCCTTAACAATTCAGTACAACTCCAGGCTGAGCTTTTACAGCTAGCTGAGTTAGAGAGGCACAGAAGGGGACTTATCCTATATAATCCTTGTCACATTTTGACATATTAAAAGGAACATTTATAGTTTTGCCTGTTTCAAGTTTTATCTTAATGCTACTTGGAGGTATACTTTTCATAATGCAATTACTTTTTAAATACATAATTTACAATCCTGAGTTTTCAATGCATTCAATTCTATTGCGATTTTTCTCGGTATTATCATGGGCTTTCAAGAAGGCCCATCCATGGTACATGTACGTGTATTATGTCTTAACTTTACTATAATTTCCCTGTTTATATCTTTATCACAATTTTCTTATTCAAAATCAAGAATTCATCAGCTTTTATTCTGCAGAGTTTATTAAAGATGCATTCTTCATAGAATAAAGTTAACCTTTCAACTAAAGTTCACTATGAGAGAATTAGATAAGGTAATTATTTTTACAGTGAGAAGTTAAAGCACCCTGCCCCAGGTAGTTCAACATGAATTGTGGCAACCTTTTCAGCCTAAGTATTTCCAAATCTGTTAATAAAGTCTGACATTGTAATCATGGCAGGCAGGGTTGAGAGATATTTCAATGTGATATACAGGATCAGCAACCCGTTGCAAGAATTTTCACCTTCACTCTTAAATTTCAGATAAATCTATACTATGGTCTACTACACTCTATGGTTGATAGCTGATACCCTGTGATGTACGTACATCAAAACGACCTATATAAAAATACATTTTCTGTTATAGCTTACATTTATTTCATATTCGAACCCCTATAAAATTCCACAAAAGTTACAAATAAGCTATTTTATATGTTTAGTCAGAGGAAGATGTGACAACTTGATGAGGATTCAGGGTAGAAAGGATGAGAGGGATTACAAAGTCTTACACGGGATGAGTCTGAATTCTCTAGAATATTCTCCAGAGGATTCTATCTTATTCTGCAGCTATTTCTGGACTTCAGTTATAACACTTTCAGTTGATTGTTTACAATTATATTATCCATGGCAACAATTGAAAGAAAGGTTAAACCTTACTTATTTGAATGGGTAAGGTTTCGATTTTAGTCTATGTATAATTATAGTTGTTGCATCGTCAAAATAAAATGGAGAAAAAATGTTTTCATATTAAATAATAAATCCTCGTTCAGTTGCACCATATTGGTTAGAAAATAGGTATTTAACTGTTTACAGGTTAAAATGTTCCAAGAAGGTCATTTCTCACCCAAAGTCATTCGGTTAAATCTGATGAACTTTTCTCTTAACTGACATAAATAATTTTGAATAATTGTCTTAATCTACACTTCACCTCATTGTTTTTCTTTTAAAGTCGGAGCAAACCCCTAAATGTCTATCACAATATGATGGATATAATGTACATCAAGGACTTATCCTTATCCATTGTGCTTGTAACCTAGAGAAAAAAGCCATACTGAAGATCAAGAGTTTTCATTACTGTAACACAGCAGATAAACCACATTTGAACATAAAGATATAGTCATATACATGTCCACACTTCCCAAATAGCTCCTGTTTCTTGAAGCCACAAAAATGCCAGATAAACAAAACTTGAACCCAATACCACAAACTAATGAATCTAATAACAGTAAAGTTATCTCAATTGATGAAACCTTACAGCAGCTTCAAATACAAGCTTTTTACATTAACCTATCAACTTTTGCTTCAAAGTGGAATATTACAGTACAGAAAAATGTTAAACCTGTCTCAGTAGAACACCTTTGGTAACTCTAAAAAGTGTTCCACTTGGGAGGTGTTCCACGTAACAGGTTTTACTGTATTGCAATTATGGAAACCCCTGTTTAGGAAATGTCATAACAGTTTTTTTCTCGATAGGCATGATTGCATGATTTCAATTTAAAGGACCAGGTTAAGGACTTTAGATGGAGAAATATAAGGAAACATGAATGTTATATTTTAACCCAAGCTCTTTGAGCACTTGACCTTTACAGGAAGCTTCCTGCAGCCATTTCTGGCCAGTACCTTTATTTCAACCATATATCACTCCTTCCTGTAAAATATCTATTTACCTTATTATATCACAATTTAATGATGTATTAGACATATTTTTGCCATAAGGTTATTCAGGTGTCTCACTAGAATTCAAAATATGTTATTTCATTATGACATGATTCCATTATTATTATTTGCTTCTGGTAATCTTTCTGCAAGAGCTGCTATTAATACATTTCTACTACTTTTGATAGAGAGTTCAGTTTCACCAATTAGATATTTTGTGGTTTACCTATAACCTTCTGCAAATATATTTTACATTTTCTGTACTCAGCTGACTTATAGTACTAAGGTACAAAGCTATTACATTTGAAATAAACTAACTCCATTTTATGAATATTTGTACTGCAATATTCAACATATACGAATCTAACTAATATCTTCATTTTTGTTTGATTACATGTGACATCTAACCATATGCCTTCCAAAAATAAGTCACAAACTAGATGTAGGTCAAGGAAACAAGTGGCTTTACATCACATATATGGATCAACTTTTAAAATAAAAAATTAAACCTTATGACATGCCAACCCATATATTCAGTCCCTTGCACAGACCAAAGATCTAATGGATCTCATATTTGCATATTCAAAGTAGTTCACTATCCAAATGTATTAAACCTGTGCAGTAGACTGTATATACATATATCTTACAGCTATTGAGATAGTCAGGTCCCAGGTAGTCAATGTAGATCAATGAATGCCCCAGGAGACCTTCGTCCCAGTCCACTGGGATCTTGGCCATCTTCAATCTCCTAATCAAGGCAGTGCCACCTGTAAACTCGCACCCTAGCCCAGTGTGTGGCTGTTCCTACAACACCACAACACTACACAACATCTTGAGGCTGTATAAACACTGTCTTGAGGTATATATTTGAAGTGTCTTCTTTCTGTATAAATTCCTCCAACTTTTCTAAAATCGTTTGAGAATTTATGTAGTTCCTTTTGTAATTCACGAAATGAACATTTGAGGTACATTCAATCCTAAAGTTTCAAGTTGACCTCCGCTTCATCCAGAAGTATTGTATCATATCCTTCTGACTATTCTGCTGCTCAAGGGAGATTGATCTTCTTCTAAGCCCTGTTTTATTTCCCTATTAACACTAAGCATTACATCCAAAACAAGTTTTATAGTAATCCAAGCAGTTTAATTTTATAGTTATGTTTCTGAGAAAGTTAATGACGTGATATACATAACAGCCCTTAAGAGCAAAGAAGTAAAAGGAAGAATTTCTGTATCTTATCCAGTATATTATAAATCCAGTGGTATCTTCAATAGTTAATTGTTTGTGGTAATATATTATAGCAAGTTATATTCAACCATGTTCTACCTTGTATATCTCACTCATGGAACATCTGGGAAGCAAAAATAGCCGAATGTTCATGAAACGGTTGCCAATAAATCATGGAGCAGAAATATCTACTAAAGTTCAGGTTCTCAGCTTTTGCTGTTGCTGTAATGTGTCTGGATCTGACAAGATGAAAACATGGCTTGTTCCGTCAATAAATCTAAACATTGCAAAGAAATCATTTCCATTTGTATCTGGGAAAATTATATCAAGGATTATAACCAAACCACAATGATGTATAGTCAAATAGCACGTGGACTTTCCAGATATTGTAGCTGACCAATAGAATGCATCATTCCTCCTCTTGCAAGGTGAAACAACATCTGAATCTACATGGCTTATCTCTTAGTTCCAACTCTAAACTTGCACACATTGCAATGTTTTCATAAACAATTTCGAGTAACAGTTTCTCAAATCACTGCCTTTGCATTATTTTCGTTATTTTCCATTCCAGTCTGCGTATGTTTTGTTATGCATGTTGGAATGTTTCATTTCTTGCTTAAATTTCTTTCATCTTCCTTATCAAGCCAATGGAAACATACTTTGATGTTTCATGATGTAATTGACTTTGAGAGGGAGATAAACAACTTTAGCACTTGTTGCATATTGGGTAATATTGCCAGGCAGATGTGTTGCATTGTAGGTAATGACATCAGGCAGATACATTGC